CGGAATTCTGTGCTGATTAGTACAACTGTCAAAGATTATTTGACCCTATAATAAACCCATCGCTACATAAAACTTGGATGAATTACCAGGCTCATTCATAGGGTGTAATACGACAGATTTAATAGCTGGACAGTTTTAAGAAGATAAATTCGGCGGCGAGCCTCGTGTTTCAGATTAATTTTCCTTTCTGCTAAAAAAAAATATTAGTTACTCACTACGAATCTTAGGGCCATTTAACCTTGTTGATTTTGTCACTTTTTTTTTTCTTTCGCATTCCGTTATTGAAAGGGAATCATCCCCGAAACTAACGAGGCCATCTACCTAAAAATGGACAGTACAAGAAAACATCTTCCCTTCCTTTTTCAAAACTGATGATAGTTTTTTTTTCTTTTAACCCAGTGTGACCTATGCTTTTTAAAACAGTTCCGATCATTTATTCCCATGTGGAAAACTTTTTCATTCGATATGACATATGCGACAAGACACAACTTTGATTTTAGCCCTGTAAACTGACCATGACTAACCTTTGAATCCAGATATAAAAAAACTGACTTTGGACGATCCACAGGCCTTAATTTTTCTTGTTTTAGACTTACTATCACAGCTTTGTCTTCATGCTTTTATACGCTTCGTTAAATGTTAGATATGAAAGGTACGGAAGACCGCTTGACGCCAATCTAAATTATTGATAAGTTGCTTTTGTCAATATAAGACGACTCATCTTCAAATTGATTTGTAATTGCACACACATTTGGAGGGTTTTAACATTATCACTTCGGTTGATGTGGTACTAATTGACTAGGAAAGCTTAGATTTAGTCACGCAAATTTCTTTTTCTGTCGGAAAAAAAAAACCAAGCCACTTGCTACTTTAACTGAGGATTAAACACCGCGAAACACCGGTTTTAATTATTGTAATTCCGTAAAGAAAGGTTGCAGGCGGTACTCATAACACAGATCTTACCCCTTTGCCGCCAAAGATAAATACTCCTGATTTTATTGGTTAAGATTTTGTTATCTCTCTATAAAATTATTTTTTGGCTCTATGTTTTGAGTTTTTTTCGGATGTTTTTAAAACTGTTTTAATAACAAATCTCAATCATTACATTGCCGGGAAAACTTTTTTTTGTCAATTTCGACTTGTTATAGGTACTGAATGAAGAAAACAGATGCTGAAGAACCAAATTCTTTATAATGACAATGCGAACCACAAGAAGTGATCTCATCAGCGTTGTGCTGGAAACGATTAGTGGTTACCGTTGATAAAGCATCTCACTACTTCTTACGGAACTGAGCCCTCAAATCACCCAAACCAATTAACTTGAGAAAATTTCGCATGGGCTAATGCAGTTAACTAACGCTATTGGACTGAAAGAGAAAGAAAATGCGCTCAAGTCCAGTCGTTTGGAGGGTTAGGTCATTAAAAAACATTGAGCATATTGATTGTAAAATATAATTTATTAACAGCAAGATAATTTGGAGTTTTAACCTCTGTTTCAAGAAAATTCTTCAACCACGACTGACGGCCGTGGTATGAATTTATACGCGCGCGGCTGTGTGAATAAAGACATTGCTTGTCAAAAGAGAGATCCCCGAGATCACATTCCTCAAATCGTAACCCCAGCGATGAAACTTATGATCGCTCGTTGCCTATGATCTAACAAGCTACTAACACACGGACTGAAGTCATATAATATTACTGCCTTTGCTTTTTTCAGCACGGCACTCCGTTGTGAAAATGTGTTCTCTGTTATTCCGAATCCTCTCCGGTTTTTGCGGACTGAGTAAAGGAAAAACCTGACGGAAGAATGAAGGAGGTGTTTTAAGGGACGCAAAGAGTGTTCCCGGATACGTCAAAAATTCTTAAAGTGGGAGATATCTTTGAAAGAAAAGTCAGAATTGATGAAGCTTATTCCACTCTCATCCATAAAACATGCCCATTATGTCAGTTAGATTGCATTTGACATCAAAGCTTTAGATACTTATCATTTTGGCTAAGAATATATGAAAGTCATCTATTTGAACTGCGGATAAAGACGTGAATGAAAGTGATCCTCGCTACTGCTCAAGTAGTGCACATTACTGCGAGGATCACTGTCATTCACGACTTATCATTTCATTACCCTGTCACTGATTTTCTGAGTAAACTTCATTTTCTCTAAGCATTAGGACATTTACTGTTAGGTGTTCTTTGTTATCGTGCAAGTGATTGTGCAATACCAACGTTGTCAGACTTGAGTGATTGTGAGAAGTTTACACTGCCCTCCAAATATGCTGGGAGAAGAGAAATCAAGGTATTGTATTGCAACCGTCCATTTAAGCCGAGCAATTTTTTATTTTCTCATAGTAATTTATTGTCATTATTACATTCGTATTTTAAATCAAAGAAATTTTAGCAATTTAACTGGCTCTCAGGAGTGCGATCTATAAACGAGTCACTAATTTTTGCCTTCATTCACATCTTTTCCCAAGCCAGTGGGAGCGGAAGACAAAAGAAACCAACCGATTAGATTTCTGCGGCACAATTTATTTACAAATCGAAATATTTCATGTCTTAGTATTTCTATTGGATCAATAAAATCTTGACAAAGGGAACGTATTTAGGAGGCTATAATACGACATTGCAAGAAGGATTTAAAAAAGAAGCAACTGAAATACGTGTCGCGAAAATTTTGTGGTGAGATAAGAGTCTGTTTTTTTTTAGGGTCTGAATTAACATTTATGATATCAGACCAAAAAGAACTCCACTCAAAGAAGCTGCCTGCTTGTTCAAATGTGAAAACACAGCTGTGATTTCTGACCACATTGGTCTTCATTCAATGGAGCTGCACGCTCGTTCAAATCTGAAATTACACGACTTCTGACCACATTGGTCTCCATTCAATGGGCCTGCATGGATGATCAATCAGTTTAAAATCACACAAATTATTTCAGACAACATTGAAGTATACTTAGATAAAAATTTCAATCTTAATAAGACGTAAACATATGTGAAGACACACCGCGGCATGGATCGTTATAATCCCGAACGACTTCTATGATAGCTGAATCATAATCAGGGCATTGGCACAGCGTCAGTAATGGCAGAAAGTGCCTTAAATTGTGAAACTCAGAAGACAATGAAGTCGTAAGTTTCTTGCCGTTGACAGTTCCTATATCCTCATCATTGCCTCTAGATCCTGGTTTAGCTGCTCCAAATGTACCGATCTCTCCATTTAAATTTTCAGCCCTTTCCTGCGCAAATGTTTTTAGCAACGGCAAAGATCCACCTGCCTTTGCATTATCATTGTTTACTTTGCTCGCTATGTCCTTTGAATGTTGAATTATCACCTTATCGTTTAAAGTAGTTCTGGGTTTTGGTTTTTTCAAAGTCTTAAAGCCTTCCCTGTTGGAGCGGTAGGAATGTGTTCCTTTCTTATATCTTGGTAAAGCCGTTTCCATGTTCCTCGAGGAGTAAACCTGATAATCGTAATCTGCTTCTCCTAAACCAAAAAACTTTGAGACGTCATCTTCGCTGACGCTGCGCAGATGGTTGCAGCCTTCACAAAAGACTAATTCATTTGTGTTTAGAAGCGATGAAAATGCAATCGTTTCGAAAGGCAGTTCAGCCGGATTTTTACTTTGGTTATCTTTTACGGAGTCCTTCTCTCTTGAGTTCCGAACTTCATCGCCTCCTTTCTGTTTTGTATCGTCACTACTACAATTTAAGGTGTTAGATATGTTTAATGAAGATCTAGCTCGATAACCATCCCTAAAGTGGCTTGAATAACCTTCCAGTTTTTTCTTTCTGACACTACTTGATTTGCTTCTGTGCATTATTTACCGCAAAAGCTGGTTTACCTCATTTGCCCCCCAAATATAATCCATAGATTCCATTCAGCGGGTAACTTTTCTCGAAAGTGTAAAAGTGTGATTATTATTAAACAACGTGTCTGAATTTAGGTTTTCAAATATTACTCGTCTAATAGTAAGCTGCATAGTCGAGAATGTTAACTAGTCTTGTACAAGTCAAAAACCTGATTTCACCAAAGAGATAGTTTCCCATTTCATGACGCCAAAGGGTAAACAAGGACAGGAGACAAGATAGCTGACACCGATTTACAAAGTTACAAATAATTAATTTTGCCGACAAGGTATTCAAATTGAAGGAGATTTGAGTTATTAAAAATTCAAATGATTAACGGGCCTATTTTGGTAATGAAAAGAACGGTTTAACGAATGAAAAAAGCGAGATTACCCAAACAAAGAAAGAGTGCATCCTACGTGTCGCAGCAACAAAGCGGCTTCTCCTGAAAGGATGGTTATTTTACCAATAAAAACTGGAGGCTTTTAATGTGATAACAATTTACAAATATGATAAGTTAACTTCTGTAAAAATCTCACAAGAAACACAAGTAACATTGTGGTTCTACAATGCGACTAACCGGTCCAAGAGTATACCAGGACTGAAGACAACACAAAGTGGTCGAGGAAATATTCAAACTTTGTCTGAAGGAAAAACTTCTTGAACTACCTAATAAAACCTTAACTGAAAAGCATGTGGGAATGAATTTCTCAGCTCGGGATTAGAAGTACGTTCCCTTCAATATCTTACATGATTTGAATTTTTTGATAACAAAGCTGATCCGTCTCACCATTAAAAAAAATCAGATATGAGGTAAAATCAATATCTCGGTGGTCTCGTAAACACGGGAGCGTTAAAGATAAAAATTATTCATATCATAAATCAAAGAGGTCGGAATTATAAAACAGAAAAAAATATTTTTAAAGGTAAAGAAACATTTATAAGATACAAATGTTTCGAATATAAGTCAATAAATATTAGTTAAGAAGCAACATCTATCATCTACTGGCAGGTTTTTCTGAGTTATTTCTTTTTTTTGTTTTGTTTTGTTTTTGCGATTTAGTCCACTGGAAGTTGTTTTATAGCTATTGATAATTGATTCAACACATTAGGGCTCGGTAACGTTCTTTGTACTCTTTATTACAGACTCGCTCCCTTTACTCGTCTCGTAACAACCCCCCTAATACGTCTCTATTACGAGACCTCTAATCAACTCTGATAAGACACTACACGCTCTTCACATTCAAGTCATATAAAGAGTACTACTTGAAGTATGCGAAAGGTAAAGAAAAGTGAAAAGGGACATTGTAAAATCACAGTTTGGGAAGGATAAAGTGAAAATACGATTAGGTCACCGCTCTGAGAAACAAAAGAATCCATAAAATACTCAACAATTTATTTTCAGAGATTGCCTTTCCCTATATTAAATGAGGCAGTTGTCGATATTCAGTGTCTGAAAGCTTTAAATGGAGTATCACTCTCTGCAAGTCCTATTCAGTTCCTTTTTTTTGAATAACTCCACAACCAGATAGATTTACAACCCTTTAGATTTTCAGTATCATATACTACAAATTTGCGTTTTAAATTAAAGGAACCAGACAGAAATGAATGACTTGAACGTTTTTGCTCACAAACCGAAACTCCTGTCAGTGCACAATGACGGGAAATGTAGTATTTCTTTTTGCTTTGAATCTGGACCTCTCGGTAAATTCAGTGACAAAAGTGTCGTTCCTGCTGTTTCCTTGGAGACTTGGTAACCTGACGTGATCTGTAAGATAAGAATTTAACCTCGTCTGCGCAGGCTCCACATATAAAACCTCGCCCCTAGTGGGTAACAATCTTGAATGGAAAGGTTTAAATACGTCCTTTGTCGTAAAGAATGTCGCAGTTTGTCGTTTTTCTTTTTGATATTCTTGCTGTGGACAATCCCATGATCCTAAGCCGTCCAGGCAACCACATAGAGTGTGGTAGGAACTGATGCGAACCAAGGGTAGCTTTTTTTCCTTTCTGAACTTCCTCTGGTCTCGATAGTGGGCCAAATATTTTGATATTGGTAGTAGATCAAACTTTTTTCCGTCTCGAACTCCCTTTGTGGCCCTATCCGTTGACAACGTTTTCTCCATGAACGGTGTTAATGAAAGACCTCCAACCGGACTACCTTTGCAGAGTATTGGACTCTTCCTATGCGGAAGAGATTCATGAATCTTCTGATTTTCTACCCAGGACGCTTTTGTTTTTGCCATGCGTGATAAGATATTTGTTCTGGAAACTCTATCCGGAGAAGCCTCTGAAATGGAATGGACAGACCGAGTGTCATCCAGAGCGCATGTGCTGGTTGGAGTGACATAATCGTGATAGTTGTTTACGTTTTGGCGAGAGTCACTTGGTGCTGTCATTGAAGCATAATAATCCGTCTTTGGTGCTTCTGTCTCTTTTGTCAAAGATTGTTCGATGGACCTATTCTTGGTCGGACTGTGTGGCACTTCAAAGATTTTGTTCCTGTCAAAGGCTACTGTGACAGTTTTGAGGTTTACCCTGAAGAATTTAAGGTTAAATTATTAAAAAATTGAGACAAGAGTTGTGAATTTGTTTAAAGCGCCACATATAAAACCGGACATGTAGAGGAGGTCTTGATTAAGTGCGTTAGCATAAAGGTATGCCTTTCTTCACAAGTTTAAAATTTGATCCTAACCACAGAGCAAAATATTTCTTTCTGAAACAATATTTACATCTGCCCTCTAGGTGCTTACATTACACGTTTCTGTAAATTCTGAAATATTTTGCGACAGCCATTTTAGAAGGACACAAGTCGCACAAGATGTGTATTCGACTTTCAGACTTAACTTTATGAGTTGATAAATATAGTTTCACCTTCGAGCCAAATGATTACTAAATTGGTCATTTAAGTACTCTGTTCAAGAACCATTAATCATGCCCCACAGTAACAAATTCTGCGTATCTGTTCCATGTCGTTAGTCTCTGACTTTTCTGAAATACCGTTTTTATCAAATTCACCCTTATATAAATGCATCATGGGTCCTCAATTCCTTCGTTCAACTCTGAAAGTGGGAGAAACACTGTGGAACAAACGCGAGACCACATAAAGTGAATCGTTTAACATTTTTCGTTGGCTGACCTTTTCTGTGTTTGAAATCAGTTGCAATCAGTACAGCCATACTTCAATTCCTATCAGTTAAACATCTCGACCGCAAATTTCACTCGAATTTCCAACCAACTGACTTCGAACTACCTAATAACTAGTGATCTCATTTCCTGGGACCGTGCTTTCTAGTGACTGCGAATACTCGCAAAAGGACCAAGCTTTATCTCGGTTTGAAGGATTGACAGTGAACATTTTCATCGGCGTTTCGTTGTTATCCGATGAGGGATTTTAGTCAACACTAAACTTAACTCGATGGATTGCCACTTACTTGTGTTGACAATCCACTTGAGAGGTACCGGGCCTCCATATGCCTTGTGCATCTTGTAGTGTACGTAAATGGCTACCTATGAAGGCCATGACGGGGAGGAACTGAGATATGCGAATAAAATACTTCACTTTCACGGTTGTCGATGTGCGACTTCTAACTGCACTGAAGTGTTGCCGGGTAACAATACGAGTCATGCTTTGATTATGGAAAACAAATGACCAGTCGGTTGTGGCTGAAGAACAATTGACTTTGATTCTTTGAATTATTTGCATATATATTACTCGGCTTGACGTTAGCTTAATGGACATTTAATAACACTTCGAGAGAATGGTTCCACCATCAAAAAGAGTCGCAGTAAAGACATGCCCTTTCCTTTGCATCTTCAGTAGCATAGTTTCAACCTACTAACCGCCTCATATACAAGAACTTTTAAAAATAACTAAAGAGGTGATAAAGTTAAGTGTATTCGAAGTTCATGCCAAGTGAATCAATCTATTATTCCTACCAGGTAAAATTGACTGATTATACGACACTTCAAGGATTAAACGAAATATGAAATTACAGGGCTGTCCAATAAAAGAGAGGTCACGCCAGTACATAATTTGCAAGGAATGTTTGATGCCTTCGTTAACGTTGTCAGTACAGCCATTTAACTTCGGCCGGTCCCTTAGTTTGTTGAAAACTAAAATCCTGCAAATAATAAACAAACACTTTTTTCTTGCTTTGAATACCTGACTATTTCACATATTATACGGTTGTTCCCTGATCTGCGCGACTGTCAAAATTGTACGTATCCAGTATTTGACACGCTCACTAATTATTGGGAATGACAAAAAGGATTAAGAAGCACGACGTTTAATAAAAATCCAAAATTCAAACCTTATGTACCACTAAGAAGACACACGAAAGGACTAAAATTTTCGTCGGACGATTCGTATTCCAAATTTAACACAAAGTTAGGTGATGTGAGGCTGTTTGCTTGATATTCTCAGGGTATTCTTTGTTCAATATGTACAAAATTATACAAGAAAAGTTAATTGAGGAGATGATAAATGTCGAGTCTCATCTTCAAATAAAAAAAATCACATGGTTGATCCAGGTAATACGTAAGACTCATGAGGAATGTGAACCTTTTTTATAGCTTTAGTTGGTAAAACATCACACTGCGAAATTTTAAGTATGGAATTGAAAATCCTATGGACAACCTAGATTTCAGAATAGAATAATATATTTAGAATGAACAATGGAATAAATAACGTATTTCTTTTCAATAGAATGAATAACATATTTCTTTGTAAAATAGTATCCGCAGCAGTAAATTAGTGTCACCCTGCGGTAATTCTTACGTTTAGCCCGGCTCATAATGATCGGCACATATAAGTCATATAAATCTTGAGCAAGTTCAATAAATTTTCTGAAGACACCAAATTTGTTTAAAAAGTTAATTACTGATCCGCTCGTCACAACCGCGGGCTCCGGTTTCTCATTCTTCACAGTTCAGGACATGTACAATGAAACCATGACAACACCATAAGATTGTCTCTTTCTCTTAAAACTTAGTACCTATAAAAACTAATACGTATACGGATAAAAAGAGACACATTTTATCTATAATTATATATTAACTAGGAAAGAAATGATTCTTCGATCCTAGAAACGAAGCAATTTCACAATAAATATTTATTCTATTGTCGTTTTCGCTTTTCGAGCCTGAAGATTTTCCGTTCTCCTGGAATTGTGTATATTCATCTCGTGTACGGTCTAGCGTTAATACAAATTTTCATCGGTGCATCGTTATCACAATCATTTGGATCAAAACCAAGAACATTCCCGCTTGTTGCATTACGGTATCTTCCATATAAATTTAAGCTTTTTGGTCGTCGTTCAACTCTTGACGGCAAAGGCTCTGTAAGACGAATCGCCCTTGGACAGTACCCGTAAGGTCTTTTATCCTTATCATATTGAAGACAAGGGTACAAGGAATCCATTTTGTGATTGAATCTTTGCCTCAATTTACCACCATTGCAGTCAATACACAGGTCTTTCCCAACAACCTCGCAAAATGCCTTTCTCATAATATTATTCCTACACAACTGATTTGAGGGCTTGACATAAGTGTATGAGGGAACGCATCGGTCAAATCGCAAGGCGTCGTACTCCATTTCATCGGAGTTTTCTGGCAGTAGAAAATAATTTCCCGGCTTGAATTCAGGAGAAGGAAAAAACTTATAACTTGTCTTATTGGACGCTTCGGTTTTTAGATCTCTCAGAAAGTTACCAGTTTGTTGAAAGCGCCCAGTTTTAACCCTCTTTACTTTTCTGTATTCTTCGTTGATCCAAGCTTCCATTCTGCTGAATGATTTCGGTTCGCAATGTTTTTCACCGAAGATGAACAAGTCTCTGACACTTTTAACGTCTTCATCATAGCCGGAAAATTGTGTTCTATCTTGGATTTGTTTACTTTGAATCTTGGCCGAGATCTGATTACTCCCTGTTTGTATTTTAGCGTGCTTTGAATCCATCTTTGCTGTATTTCCCGAAAGTTCACGAGAAAAATAGAAAAATGCTTAAGGCTTCAAATGATTGGGATCGAAGTTTCTCACGATAGACATCTTCAGCCGTCGGTGGTGGTTGAAGTTTGATAATTTATTCATTTTTCGGTCAAATTTGCAAACACCTGCTCTCAAAATTTGTCCTTCTGTTTTAACATAAATAAAATCCCGCCGCAATAAGTAATTTTTCGAGTAGTAGCATCAGTCTAATCTGAAATTCTCGAGCCAGTTACAAATTACGGTTGAGAGAGCCTAGCCTAAGAAATTTTCAATTTATAAATCATTCTGATCTCAAATAATATAAATATATATATAACATATGTAGTAATTAAAGGAGAAATGGCTTCGGCTATACCGTTGATTGGAATACAACGAATCAAAGGTTCTCTTCAATTTTCATGCGCCTTAACATTCAAAAGGAGTATGTCAGATAAATCATTGGTCTATTCCTTGGAAAACAATAGAAAGAGATATAAAAAGCTACCCCTCATATCAGTAAATTTTCTGAAAAATATGGACCCAAATAATACAGATAATTAAAAGAACCTTAAAGCTATAAACACAAGTGGTATAAGGCAACTGAGCTGTTCTTAGGCAGTATGAAAGTTTCAAACAGCCTTTTCAAGCAGTTCGTGATAATAATCAGTGACTCAAAACGTACAGTTATTTAGATGAAATGAAGGGAAAAAAAAGAACAGAGATCCGGCATTACAAAAAGAGAAAATTGGGTCCTTCATGTAGTTGAGGATCCCCTGCCACCCCAACCATGTAATGGCCGAAAGCCGGCCCGAAGGACTAGCTTATTCTTAGGCTACTTTGAAACATTCGTTTTGGCTCCCATACACTTTAACATTCACAGTATTAAGATAAGAATCCTTTTTCTCAGTTCCGCAGGGTCTGCACTAATCATGTGCACTTCCAAGGAAGTGAGATGACATTTAGCATTTGAGTAACATTCAGACCTTCCTCTCTGGGTTTTTTCATCGTCGGCTTCCTTTCATTTGACTCAGACTGTTTTATGTCTGGTAAGACTTGGAGGCCTTTCACATTTATTTCTTTACTAAAACTTTTATTTGCCTGGTAAGCAGCAAAAGATTCCAAGGAGAAAACTGAATCAAGCGACATCGAGCGATTCTTCCTGAATTTTACCAATTCTGATTCGCTGGCCAAATTTGTCTTTCTCTCTGCATTCTTGAAGCAACCTAGGAGGACATTTTCGTCAGGGTGAACAACGTTCATCGGTGCAGTTACGATGAGCTCCGAAGGCACCGAAGTTGATGACGACGTCAAATTCGGAAGAGAATCGCTCTTGGCAACAAGAGGAAGTAGCCTCACCCGAAACTTGCTCTTATAGCGTTCTGACGCTGCTGGGTAGGCTATGTTTGGAAGAATATCAGTCCTCTCTTTCTCACATTTATTTTCGTATCTTCCGGAGGTGTTACCTTCAACAGGTTCTTTCTTTAAGTTGACTTCTTTTGCCTTTTTTAATTCCAAGCGTTGTTCGCAATTCATGTCTTTGGGACTCCCGATACCTTGGTCGCGTCTCGCGTCTTTTAACACGGTATGAAATACAACAGCATCATCAAAAGAAGGCATTTTTTCTTTGTTTCCTTGGCTCGTCGGAAATGGTTTTCTTGTGTTATACAGCGGCGGTATTCTTTGAGGTTTGTTCTTCCTCGGCCCGCTGTACGGGTTAGTCCTTGTCGAAAATGGTGTTTCGATCACGTCTCGCCCAAATTCCATGTTCCTGGTCGAGAGGCAACTTGTCAAACTCCTGTCCTGTAAGACCGACCAGATTTCTTTCCAAGGGCTCGGGTTGAGACTCCTTGGTGCTTCTTTAGCTGATCCCGATAAATTCATTTCACTTGTATTCTCTTGATCGCGGCGGTCGGATGACACACATACGCGAAGCTCACATAAACTACTCTCGCCCTGAGCGGTGCGTGCGTCGGTTTTACCACCGTCTTTGCTAGTACAAACGTTCTGTCCTTGTGGACCGGACTTCATGCTAACATTTATTTCAGCGACATCTGAATCCTGAACAAAATTGTTATAGCTGAGCGCAGTTCCCTCTACAAGGATTTCAGATTTATTGTTGCTCGGCCCTCTTGGATAGTTCCTTATTAATTCCTTAGATGTCGCCACTTGAGGATCCTTCGTTATAAAATATCCGTCAGATATTCTTCTTTCTGACATTTCTTGGCCTGTTCTCTTGTGTTTTTCTCTCTTTGAGTCAATATTCCGTGACATCAAGCACCTCTGTAGATCATCTTCCATGTCATAGGCACTACTTGAAGCCACGAACACCTTCCTCTTCGAAATCTCTTTTCTTTCCGTCATAAATTTGCCAATCATTGCAACAAAAAAAATCCTACACAACCCCTTCCAAGCGATTGCGAAAATGTCTGTAACTCTATAAACACAGACTGGTTTTGACTAACAATTAACGGTATTTTCCAGAACAAAAAAGAACCACGACAATTGGCCCGACATTAAGACAAGTGGTGAACATGTGATAAAATAATTTCAGACCAGCAGCAGTATTGTTTAAGGGGTGTCGAGAATGCATCCCAAGAGAATGTCATTATTAAAATGCTCTGAACCCATCGAACGCTAATTACGACTCTAAGAGGATTCTTGGACCGCGAAAAGTACCTTGACAAGAAATTTGACAGGTTTCTAGACTGGAAAAAACAACGGTAGGAGATTTGTAAGACAAGTTTGTATGACAAGAGTGGTTTATTGCACGAGCTAATGAGTTTCTGGTCAACGTTATCAATTAGATCAAGCAATCAACCTTCGAAGCTAAAAATAACAAACAAACTTTACAATGGACCGGTGCTAGTCGAAGTAAACAACAAATCAAAATGATAGTTTATCTAAAATATCCATGAGAAATCCACGAGAACTTTTTCCTTATGAAAATGTGACCCCAGTAAGACGGGTATTTCACTAAATGATTTGTTACCTAGCCAATACGACCTTTTAACTAGGAAATTGATTATGCTCAATCAGCCGTGAAATGAGTTTTAGAAGTAATTAAACGCTCCGCTTAACCCTTTACAACTGAACATCAGCAAACAGATTCTCCATACCGTTCTCCTACCATACATTAAGGTGCTGACAATGAGAGTTTGTTTACCAATCATGAGCTTATTTCTATCATTTCTTTTATTCTCGGGGGTGACATTGCACTGTAGGAAATTAATGTCTAGTCACTCCTAGGGATCAAACAGTTAATCATACATCCTGAAAGAGCAAAATAGTGGTAAGCTTTACGATATATATTCTGTAAACCACTCAAAATTAATGGCAATAGATCTTCGTCAAGAAAACCGCTTTGCTAGTAATCAGAAAATAATACATTAAGCCCTTTAGTGTCTCCTAAGCGGATTAGTTAAACATGAAACAGTCGCTGTCAGCTGTGTCATAGTACAAATTCCTCTTTGTATTACAAGGACACTTCATTGATTAAAACTTGTCACCCTAATGACCATGGATATATAATCATAACATCTTCATCAAACACCTTTAGACACTTTGATGCAGTGTTCAGCTATCCTGTGTGCAGTTGCCCCCACACCCTCCAAAAAGCTGAGGGCTGGAGACTCTAGGGTTAATGACAATTGAAGCCTGTTTCCTTTAAAAACATTTAATCTGTTAATTATAAAATAATTTTCTTGATTCACTTCAATGCTGTTTTTGTGAGCAAGAAAGATTTGTTTGTATATCTATGTCTTTCATCCTCTCATTGATATATCTTGCACCATCCACAGATTGGGGTGCAAGTCTTCAAAGTTACCCAAACATCAGTTCTGCTCACCACACTCAGTGCATTTGACTTAATATTTAACATTTACAATTTAATCGTAAAAATCCCCAGAGTTCATGAGAATATTCAAATCAATCAGGTGCTTATAATATTCATATCTAATAATATGTCAGGTATTTTGCAAACCAGTGCACTCTCCATTCTTGGTGTTACTTTCCAGGAAGATTGCAGATTTACTGCAAATGTAAGAAATAAGCTAATTAAAGCTAACAAATGTCTTTCTATACTTAGATCATGAAGGAAAGAGGATTATACTGCAGCAGAAGTAGACTATCTATCCCTTACTTAACTTTTGGTCTATCAGTCTTCAGTGCTATTGATGCAGAGCTTACAACTGTACAGTGTTTCCTGGACCCATGTCACAAGCAGAGATACATATCTAAGGTGGTAAACAGCTATGATCTATTAGAAATACAGGAAAGGAAAATAATCGTCCAGGTAAAACATCAAGAGAAACATCCTCTGAGAAACCTTATACCTAAACTGAAGGTCACAGAGTACAATTTAAGACACAAATCTAATCACCAGCCTAAATTAAACACAGACAAAGTGAGGAACCCCTATTTTAATCACCTAATTTTTAAATATGACCCAGCTTTGTAACTGGTATTTTGTACATTTTTAAAGATAATTAGCTTTGTAATTATTACATACAATGTAACTTTGTTCTAAATTGGAAGTTTTGTAAAATAGGATAAGTAGTTTTTATCTCATGAATTAATAAAGACTATTATTATTATTATTATTAATAACTTAATCAATGTATGTCTCACTTGCTTATCAAACTTCCAACATTTGGAATAAATCCCATAAAAATTCCCCTATTGTAGTAACTGATACTTTCCATCAAAAATAACTTTTGCACTTCAAGAAATAGGTATATGTGCTTTGTAACGATTAATAAAGGGTTTCAAGTCCTTGTATTCTCCTAAACATTCCCATTAAAATTTGCTTAGGGTTTTAGGGTTATGTGTTTGTATAGTGCTCATCCTTAGCACATAAATAGGCTATACTTAGTTATTTTAAAGTTTCTTTTCCTCAACACTGACCTTTTGAGTAAGATTTTCAAATATGCTCTTAACCCTTTAACTCCCAGAAGTGATTGAGAGGTAACTTCTCCCTATAATATCCACATACTATCTAGCAAAGAGGTAATGAGAATACTTAAACTTATCGCGTAGAAGTTGTTGTTCTTGATCTAACACCAAATTCTCTTGACTAATTTAGAAGCAAATATGTAGCAGCTAGAGGGGAGAATTAACAATCAGATCTTGGCAGTGAAAGGGTTATGAAAAGTTTTAATTCCCTGAAATTCTGATGACTTAGCCTACCTTATGGATGACTTTGGTTGATCCTATTAACATACTCCCAAAAAGTTACCTCTAACACATTATAAAATCATTTTTCTAGTCACTTCAAGTCAGCTTTCCAAAATTAGGCATCTCTGCATGCAAGTTGGAAGAATGTATTCGCAGTACATAGTAATTCCAATAATGCTCTGTAGTAGTTGTACCACAATGCAGACTTGAGTTTTTGCCTTAATTATGTGGTGTAATTTTAAGTCCACTTTCAATTCCAACAATTAAAGATTAATATGTACACTAAAATTTAGCCATTAAAAAATTCAATAAATAAAAAATTCTTTGTAAAGATAAAACTATCAATAAAAATGTAGATTATCAAATTTTTGATTACATTTGTTTTCAAATGCATATATACAAAATCAGATCATCCCCTGTTGAAATCAAAATATAAAACATTTGAGGATTGTTTTTGCTTTAAAAGAAAAATTTACACCAAAGACTCCTGAGAACCAGCACCACGTTGGGTTGTGCTTTCCTCCTCTGAATCTTGAAAACTTATCACAATATAATCTCCATCCTCAGCATGGACATTTACTGTATAAAACTCATTTGACCTTTCACCTCTTAACAGAGGTTCTTTCTCACTATCACTAGAACGGTGTTCATTTCCCAAATAGAACACATAATGTTGCCAAATGAGGATGATGTTGAATAAGAGAGTGGAGACAGCAAGTGCCATCTTAGGAATGTTCCCTGTTAGCTGATTGTTGCTGTGTTCAATGAAGCAGTAAAGATCCATCTGTAACAGACTGAGTACTCCTCCACCAAAATCCAGCAGCACTCCACCAATATGGAACCCCTCTGTGGATTTGCGTTTGAAGTTGAGCCACACTTGAGGTGAATACTACAATAGACATGCACAAAAAAAATTCACAAATTGATTAATTCCAATTCCAGCAAAGTTCTTAATTATTATAGGGATTAAAATGCTTTACAGGAAAATTCCCGTTCTTTGCAAGATCAAATTAACAAATTTTAGCCACGCCTCAAGAGAAAAGTCACATAAATCAAGCCACCATGGAAAGATAAATAAAAAAAAATAGTGCGACCCTGCACAGATGAGGGGTTCATTTTTATACAGGCCGTATTACAATTAAATAATCAATGGTTTTTATACCAAATGAAAAAAATTGTTGCTTTCCGTCCAGTCCAGTACTCATTATCATGACGTGCAAGGCTGAACTCATAAGAAGAAGGAAAATCAAACCAACACAGCACAGAACAAAACAAAGCAACTAAAATAAAGGAGTGAATGAGTAATTCAGCCAACCTCTAACAGTCTGATCCACGTGAATCAAAATCAGTAATAATGGCTCGAAGTGTATTCCACGACCTCCCCTTCCTGCTAGGCCACTTGTTCAAACACAACATGCATCACTGATTACGCAAGCATGAGATGTCGAGCCAAACCACATGGCGTCATTTGAAACAATAATAATGCCTAAGTCGTAAATATTATTTCTGAAATTGAGATGAACCACGTGTATTTTTCAATGTAACACCATTTATTAAACGCCGATCTGGACCTATTACGAAAAATGCAGCATGGTTCAAGCATGGACGTGTAGTTAATCCTTAACAATCTAATAAGCTGATAATTTAAAAATTAGTTTAAATGAGATACGATGGATTCGTTTTTGGTACTCAATTTATTTGTACTCACCGTCCCAAATGAAACGATAAACTTAACATATCCACAATACTGAAGGACCACAAACCACGAGCCGAGGATGCCAAAAAGGCTGAGAACAGTTAGTACAACGAGGGCCAGTAAGCAACCAGCACAAATGGCAATTGTGCTACGATGAATTTCCTGCGATCCCCGATCGTACATCAAGCACTGTATGCCCTGAGTAGTAGTACAGGCAAACGCTACGATAGAGAATACCACGTCTGTCAGCTTGACCGGGTTATCCTGATCTAAATTAGACATGATCGCCTTCGGGTCGAAATAGACCGTCACATTGTAAATCATGTAGGTAATATAACTGAGAAAGAAGTAAGCCCACATGTCGAAAGAAAAGCCAACCACACATTTTCGCCTCCAGTTTTCATAAATTTGTGGGAAAAACGATACCGTCCAAGACAAAAAATAACCCCAACCAACTATATCGGCCACGGTAATGAGCGCTGCTGTATTCGTCATGCTTTGGCGAGTTGCGGCAGTTAAAAGCAAATGGAGAATTCTGCAGTCCTTCAGGATGGTTGTGACGCAAAACTTTTTCACCAATCACTTAAAAATTCGATCGGTGTTTGTTTTAACCTGTAATTGTGACCGTCCCTTTGTGTGTCACTCTTTGTTTACGGCTGCGACGAGCCATTTATAGGAGTCTATGTCACGCAACGTATGAAGTGCTGCGTTGTGAGATGCGCGGCCTCGATCGGAAGAATGACGTGAAGCTTGCAAAGACCACACTCTTCGAGCTGGTTATAATGCTAAGGGATTCATAAAATTCATGAAACAGAATCAAATTAAATAAAACAAAAAGTACTTCAAAATTTGCCTCAGCTTTCACCCTTCCTCTTTATATTAAAATAATACTGATTAATGATATTATTTAATAATATCAATTAATTATTAGAACTTCAGCTGCAAAATTATCACTTTATTTTGCTTATATCACCAGGGCTAATATGATTAAAAAATTACACAGATAAGATAGAAAAAGTGCAAGTGATTTCCTAATGACATACTGTAAGTTATTATGATTCGTTATTACAGTATTTGCAGACTTGCTGAATCTGGTTGTCCTCTTATACTTAACTACAGAAACTCAACTGTTGACTTGACCCTCATCTCACCTTTTACTAAGTTTGGCTTGCCATAAATAATTATAACTGCAATATCACTAGCAACACAGAAAGTGCTGCAAATTATTGATGTGATCTTCAGAAGATGAGAATTTTTTTTTTTAACTAGAATACCAATTCTATCCTGGGAACCAATCACTGGGCATAATTCCCAGTACTCGGTCATCTCATATATGAAAGCCCTATTTTGAAAGTAAAGGCTTAATCTACCATAGAGGCTCTCAAGTGCATGCTTGGACCCAAATTTTTCTCAAAAAGGTGTCAAGAACTAGCTGAAAAGTATGTGAAAACACTGCCTTATAAGGTTAAGATTTTTCGCAAACGTTTCACATACTTTTCAATTACTTTTGTAACACCTTGCAAAAAGAAAAAATGGTGTTGATCATTTTCAACCTTCCAGTAAAACGATAAAACAAGTTGGGTAATGTGTGTATGTTTTCAATTTTAACACCTCAATTGCAATAAACCTATCACATAATTTCAGAAGAGCAGTTTCATTTGTAAACCATATTTAAATAGTCACATTTAAAGTTCTGATGAAAAATTGGCCTTTCCATGAGTGTGTATAATATTTCTCCAAGTGTATGCATTTTGTCCAATTACATAATGTCAAAGACTAATTCAGTCCCTTTCCCTTTAAAAATATCCATTGTATTCTCTAACACTGTTAAGCCTAAATGTACTATTCCTTATGCCATAGGTATTTCATGTTGAGCAGCATATCTAAACAAAGTAAAAGAAATAAAATGTTACTATAAGGAGTAATACTGGTACCTATTTTTAAATTAAAAGCCTCTACCCAAAAATTTTTTAGAGATCAACACAAGTTATTTGATTGCAAATACATGTACACTGCAGCTGTGGAATAAACAGTAAACAATAAAATCAAATATTGTAAACAAAAACCGATGAAAATGAGCTATGACTTAAATTACCATTTCATTCTCAAAAGAGTTTAAAAGGATGGAAGAAAATCATTGGCATTTAAAGCCCTCCAGTGGACACATTGTAAACAAACAGAATTGCAAAGCGCCCATAAAATTTGATTAGAATCTGACTAATACTCTACATCTGGTGAGAAAAATACATGAAAGTGAAAACAGATATGTACAATGCTATTACATGTTTATGACTTGCATCAAAATTCATTATGATTGTTGCTTTACTTGATAAGAAATAATATATTTTTACCTTCAACTAAAATGCTACTGGTCCAAGTAACAATAAATCCTATATCATTTTATTAATAATATATGACAACATATTAAACATGCCATTTCCCCTTCTCCTGCATTAAATTTATTTAGTAGTCTGCCCTGTTAATTTCAAATTAAAGTACAAAATTACAAACTGTAACAAACCTTCCAGTTACAAAGTGGAAAAGTTGCCTCTCTATGTCTCCCAGCAGTGAACTGGCACCAATCCTAAACAGATCAGGGTGTGTCCAATCATCCCCAAGTTCTTCTTTCATCAAAGAGAGCCATGTTAGGGCATCTTTAGCACTGCGGATTCCACCGGCTGGCTTAAAGCCTACCTTGTGACCTGTTTGCTATGTTGAAAAAAAGAAATTAAAAGGGCATAGACTGCAATGCCCTTGAACAGTAACAAATAATTTATCATACAATATATTAAAAATGTTACACCCTTGTTGAAAATTTTGGGAGGTCCTCAGGGCAAAATTCAAATTGTTCACTTTTAATCCAAAAGTGTTGGTTTCTTCTATTTACATGTAAATAAAATCCAGAGTGACATCAATTATACCAGCCCTTCACCTCCCAGTGCTCGTTCTTATAAAACTGGTCCTCATCATTTATTACATGTACAGTATTATATCCAGCAAATAGTTGAAGAGCAAAAACAAAATTACCACAGAGGAATGGGGCAGCAAGATTTACTTAATAGGTTTGAGATCAAAGCGGGATGTTTCCATAATCAACTGTAACATCAAACAAAAACGAAAAGACTTGACAACAAACTTTACCACTCAAGGGTTTTAATTCTCACTAACTTCTCGACAGAGTCGCACAGTAAATCACAGTGCAGTCTATCAATCACCTCCAACAATGTGATTATAACATTGGCTCTAAATTTTAAAATAGCTGTCTTGCTTTTTTCAAATTACAGAGGAAGTAATAACATGATCAAAGAAAATTCAACAGCAAAGTGCCAAAAATATGTTACTCAGTGTGGCAAGACACTTTTCAAAAGTAAGATATGAAGTTTTTGCTGATTTAAGTATGGAAACTGGTTGCCTATCTCAATACCAGTAATCAAAATAATACTTGCGACAAAATATTCTATGCACTGCTTTCTTCATTTACAGAATGGTTGTAACAACAAAAATTTTACTATAGAACTTGAAAGAATCAGGGAAATTACAGAACAGCCCCAGGCTCAGTGAATATTGTAGAATAATCCCCTTGACTTTGTCTCAGATATTAGTATTCAACAATATTCAAGTCTCCTTTGGCAAATGACTGTTTTAAAAACACAATAGTCACAGAATATCAGCGCGCACATGCAAAGATGTCAACAAATTATCACATCACAACAGTTATTACCCACACCTTGAAGGCTCCATAGCTATTTTAAGGGTCAAATGGAGGTAAGTTCTTAAAGCCCAGTAGCCCATGACTTTTACTGCTTGGTCTCAGCAGACTGGTAAGACTGTTACTCCTTAGTGGAATGCTCATCCACCGCAAGTTACCCTAAGCATTTTTATCAAGTTTCTTTCACAGTTTCCCAGACTAGCCACAAATAATGCACCTCTAGATGCAAAGAGATACTTAAAAAACAAATATTCAAGCTAAGAACAGAACCCAATGATGAAGTCAGAGCTAAAACCAGCTCCTTGATCAAGAGTCTAACAAGCTAGTCACTGGACACTGTCTTCTCATGCTTGTATTGAGAGACATTGAATTGTACATTTCTGTGTACTTTTGGCTCTCAAGTGCCAAAAACATTTGGGCATGCAATGACATATCAAATATAAACAAACATATATAGCATACCTGATAGTAATCCCTGACTGCCCGCACCATAACCAGTGCGACAGGAAATGTAGCATTAACTGACTCTTTACCAGTTGATGTTTTAATGAAGTCAGAACCAGCCATCATGCTAACCAGACTAGCTTTATAAACATTTGTTAGAGAGCCAAGTTCACCTAAGAAAAGAGATATATTACTGAATGCTTACCATAAGCATACACTATATAAACAGAGGTCCCAAGAGATCAAAAATGGCCCATAATCTAGGAGCTTTTACAGACATGAAGCAACTACATGTAGGAGTGTTGCTACCCATTATAAACTGCTCCAGGCCCTCAGTTGGTAGAAGCAAGCAAGAAAGCAGACAAACAACAAACTGACCCACAACCTGGCAGCTTTCATGGGCATGAAGCAACTTACAGTGTTGCTGCCCATCATAACCTGCCCAAGGCCTCAGTTGGTCAAAGCAAACAAAAGGGCAGGCAAACAATAAACTGGCTCACAATCTGGGAGCTTTCACAGGCATGAAGCAACTAAGTGTTAATACTCATTATAATCTGCTCCAGGCCCTCATTTGGTGGTGTCAAGTGAGAGACCAAGCAAATAAGAAACTGGCCCACAATCTGGGAACTTTCATAGGCATGAAGCAACTAAGAGTGTTGCTACCCATTATAACCTGCCCCAGGCCCTCAGTTGGCAGGAGCAAGTTAAAGAGCAGGCTGTTGAAATGACAAATGGTGGTTATGGTTGCTAGTATAAAATATTTTACAGCTGTTTCAGGAAAGGTTGTTGGAAAAAGGACAAAAGTGTATGCAAAAATCTCAAAAGGTAGCCTGGGTTTCCAAATAATCAACAAATTTCAATAAGTCAAATAAATAAATTTACCAAATCCATGATGCCTCATCCTTTTCATGATGTTTTTAACAGTTAAAGACTTTTAAACAGCCCACAATTCCTTTAGACACTGTCTCATGCACTTAACACTTATTTTTCTGACAACCTTTCTGGAAACAGCTGTATACAATGTATATTCACCACAAATATGATCAATGTCATTAATGATAGATATGGCTATCAAATTATCCCTAATTGTACCTGTGGCAATGATTGTCTTAAGATGAGCTTCTCCACAAGCTTTGCGCATTGCCTGTACTTCATTGTAAAGTGCTTCCCAGTTACCCTCCAGAACAAATGCTCTGCTGATCACAATGTCAATCTCTGTGGCACCTGAAGCTACTGCAGTTTCTATCTCTTCTAGTCTTTGCTTGAGGGGTGTCTGACCTGAAAACAAAAACATTTTATCTATCTTAAACCATTTGACTACTGAAAGTGACAAACATTTAATTTTTCCTTACAATATCACCCCTGAATCACAGATTAAGGTAACAAGAACTAAAGGAAGGATCACCAACTAAGGAAGCTCTTATGAGATAATTCTGGTTTTATCATCTGAATTGATGATGTAAACTGGCTAACTTACATCATCATATCAGTTACCAAAATAAAACCAAAATTAATAAACAAGGCTTGGAAGTAAATTTTCTGCAAGTAAATGTCATCTGGTATAAGAGCTATTGAAAATACTATTACCAGCTAGAATTGCCATCTCTCTCCTCAACAATTGCCACTTGGAGCTTGTTGTGCAATAAGATGGGGGGGGTGTGGCATTACAATCCAAAATTATGGTTGTAATCAAGACCATGAAAAGCCTTTCTTCTTCAAAAGCTCATTGAAAGTGATTCTTTCTCTATCTCTGAGCTGTACTGTACAATCCCAAATATCACAAATATCACTCCACATCTCTTCTCCTATATCCCCCTTGAGTTTGGGAGAAAACAGGAGAAGACATGAAAACAAAAAAAGCTGATTGGAAATATTACAAAATATTAAGGTTATACCAGAAAAATTTGGATAATAATATCTAAATGCTGGATCTTTCAATGATAAGCAAAGGCTCCAATCAGAAATAAAAGTTTCAACTTGGTCACTCTTCAACAAACACTGTAGACGCAATTTTTTAAAAGGTGGAGGGGGTGGAGGGGGGGAGGAGGAGAAGGGGGAACGGGTTATACTTGGATAAAAAGCACATTTAATTCATAGGAGTGATTTCCAATAACTTTATAAATTAATGGTCAACGTCGAGGTGTAAACCGAATACTTAATTTTAAGAAGCAGTCTCAATCATTTCATTTTGTTGATCACCTGCTGGGAATCCTGCAGCCACTGAAGCAATTGGAACCTTGGAGTTAAGATTCTCGAGAGTCTTTACGGCGTCTGGGACACGAGACGGGTACACACAAATAGCACCTGTAGTTATTCCCTTGTCTGCCATACCCATGCTTTCCAGTAAGTCTTTCCTTACAGGATTTTGCGCTTTGAAGCAGAGTCGGGACACGTTCGTCGCGGTGTCATCTCCAGACAGGGTGGTAAGGTCGATACAAGTCACTGCTCTCAAAAGCCATGCCGCTTGCCATTGCTTCTTTACTGACCGGCGAGTCTTGAGCGTATCAGCCCGTCGTTTTACAGCAGGAAGGTTAACTCTTGTCCTACCTACCCACTCTAAATCTAGCGGAATGCCTGGATTACGCACCAAGTGTGAAGACATGTTAGACAACGTGACGGGCAGTTAGAGAACACGAAAGAGAGGAAGCTGGGTAAGAGAACTCTTACAGACTGGGGAAAAGCTAAAATTCGCTTGATCATGGCCTATATTGAATTTTTTCAGAAAATTAAGAAAAATTACAGCTCTGCAAAACTTAGAATACAGCACCATTAGACCCTTTTCTATCAGTAAAAGAAGCTGCCATGGAATACTAGTTAAGAAAAACCAATGCCAAAACCAAATGATTTGATTCCCAAATGATCATGAGCCCACATATAGAAAGACAGTTACTAGCGGTTGCCACCCATTATAACATTACAAAATATGGCGGTTTTTGCCGTGGTGAGCAGTTTGCAAAATCATTGCCTCAGAGCAGTAGCCGGCCAGTTACCAAATCATGAAACCTCGTTAGCCCAGCTTCCTGTCGAGATTAAGACAAAGCTGGTTAATCTGCTATCAAAACGAGGTCTTTTAACGGACGCAAATCTTGGAAATGTAAGTAACACATTGTCCTTGGATCTAGAAGAAGAAAACGGGGACTGGGATTTTGCCCAGACTCTTGCTGAGAAAGTGGGATTTGAGGATTGAAAATGTAGTATATGAAATGGAGGCAGATTTTATTTTCTTTTATCGCCGTTTTAATTTATAATTACTTATTTGCGATCAGCACGACTGGACTGATACCTTTGTAGGTTGTTTAAGGTTCTGATTCATTTGAAATTACCTACAAGTTAAGATGGTTATGAGCTTTCTATTTGGTAGATTCATCGCCATTAAAATATTATGGCACTGATCCTCTCCTTAACCCTTTAACTCCCGTAAGTGACCAAGACAGAATTTCTCCTTGCTATATCTATACAATATCATGCAGACAAGTGATGAGAGTGAAGAAAAATATCACTTAATATGCCACTCAGTACAGGTTTGACTGTAGTGTTTTTGATGTAATTAGTATTTGATTTTCATTCTTATTTAAGGTATTACACCCAACACTTAGGGAGCTGGAGTTGTGTGAATGTGCAATTTCAGACAGAGGACTTTCTTTCATCTGTGTTTGTAAAAACCTAAGAAAATTAGACTTAAATGCCACCAAGAATTCCAGAGCAGATGTTACATCTGAAGGTATGTTGCACCAGACTTTGGTTCCTTCACACAGGGTCTTTTTTATAATTTTTATCAATTTAAAATGGCCAGGCCCTTTGGAACATGTGATAAAATGATATTTATTCCATCAAGGATAACTACTATGCACCAAATTTTACATTTTTCAGGGTATTGCAGTATGTAATTTTTATATTTTCTGATATTAATTTCAACAGGTATGAGCAGAGTGTTTTTATCTTGTTGTTGCCTTCAGACTGTGTACCTCCGCAGATGTGTTAATCTTACAGATGATGCTGTTGCTGCTTTGACACAAAACTGTTTGCGGTTGGAACATCTCAATTTATGTGGATGCAATAAAATAACAGATACATCTCTCCAGCTCATAGCCCACAACTGTAAATTCCTTCAAAGTCTTAATCTCTCAAATACTAAGGTTAGCAAACAAGTTTATATTTCCTCAGATGTGATCTCTTATACTAAGTTAAGTATAGTGAGTGCATGAGTGTAAAATTACCTGGTAAATAAGAAATAGAACTGGGTATAGGATAAATTTATTAGAATATTTCAAAACTTTTTCTCCTTCTTTATGGCAATGTTGCTGTGTTAACTAGAGCATAAAAATCACTTTGTAGTAATTGGAAGCTTTGATATATCATCCAAAAAAAAACATCTATCTTACCTTTCCTTTGATTACTGTGTGTACTGTTTCCAGATTTTTAAGGCTAAATTTTTATAATTGTGGATTTTTACCACCTTTTGAAACTAGATTTCCTCAATTTCAACCCTTAGAAAAAGTCTTAGATCTCAAAAATGATTGCATCTTGACCTGCCGTGTATAAAAATTTTGAAAACAGCCCTGAGTTGTTTCAAAATGTTGCCTATATAAAAGCAGTTTTCTTTTGTGCACTTTCAGGTTACTGATAATGGTATACTGTGCTTGACAAGTGGAAAATGTCAACATTCTATCAAAGTAAGCATAGATCTAAGAGGGCCACTAATCTATCATCAACCACAAGATCACAAAAAGTTTTATATACAAAGAAATATCTCTTTGACCAACTTCTACCATTGTGTGTGGCATTGAGAGTCTTCCATCCTGAGGATTAACATCCCATTTGTTTGGTCTTTCAGTGTGTTCCTTTAGTTTGTTCACTTTGAAGTAAAGAGCAGAGTATCTTTTACTCTTGAAAACAGTTTCAAAGTTTATAGAATGTCTCAAAGAAAGTGAGCAAGAGCAGATTTAAAAGATTTTGTTTTACACTAGGTTAATGGGTCAAAGTTTCAATTACATCACCCTTGCTTGTGCCTGATACATCCTTCCTTCCCCTCCCTTATAAACAAAACTCTCAAACTAAAATTAAAGTAGCTAAGTCAGAATATTATGGCCCTGCAATATAAAATGAAAAATTTATGTTGTTGACAACTGTGCAAAGAAGAGGGCACAGGAATGTATACTTAAATTCCAAAGAGTAATTTTTCATTAACCCTTTAACTCCCGTGAGTGACCAAGACAGAATTTCTCCTTACAATATCAATACAATGTCAAGCAGACAAGTGACAAGAATAAAGAAAAATACAAGTTAGGGGATTATAAGTTGATCCAATACCAATTTCTCCAACTAACATCACAATAACTGTATGGCAGACAGTTAGGAGAATTACTAAAGAGATCTTGGGAGTTAAAGGGTTAAGTGTCCAAAATTATTCTGGATTGCATTGGGTTTGCTTCATTGCACTCGGTGATTGTCAAAGGGAACTAACCAATCAGATGCAACCTGGTAGCACCTGTTTCCCTTCGCTTTAGAAAATTTACATTTTTCACTTCAATTTTCATTGACTACTTTTGACATTTTCCTTTGCTCTGATCGGTCATTTTGACTACTTTGGATTTGTTCTTTAAATACTTAATCAAAGCCGGATTATTTCTCAGCGAAAGAGTTCGTATGTCAAACCAGATCCAGATAAAAATGCCCCTATAATTTAGGTCAAGATCATTGCTCTATCTCTTCAGAACCTAGGTCAGAATTCAACCATGAACTTACCATAAGATAATGAAATATGCCGAGAAATTTAAGCTTGAAATTTAGGGATTTTTTTATGATTTTTTAATATCACAGGAAGTCCAATTGTCGCATTGCGTGAACATCTCAGATGACAGCATTGAGGCGTTACTCACTTGCTGTCCAAGAATAAACATTCTTATCTTTGATGGCTGCCCTAATGTCACTGACCGATCCCGTCAAGCTCTTGAGGAGGTTATGCTCCGCGGCGGCAAAATGAAACAGTTATCATGGACGGTATATTAACTGTAGTAGCTGAATTTGTGACCTGTAACATATCAATATTACTAAGCTTCTGACAGCTTGTTCAACCTCAACGGTATCGTCAAAAAAGCAAAGGCATTACTCGGCATCCAGTGACGTTCTTCCTCTGTCGCTTTACCTTTTAGCTTAATTTATCCCTTCTTTGTCACTTTTGTCGTTCTTAACTCATGTTTCTCTTAACTCATGTTTCTCTTCGTTGCAAACTTTTCTCCTTTCTGTGTGTGCTAATAGGTGCCACTTAACTTGAAAGCTTTGCCTACAACGGATTTTGCGCTCATTCCCTGAACATATCATGGTCTTACTTTTTTAATTTCTTTTTTTGTGCACTGCATAGTGTGGAGTGTAATAATTCGAGAGTATGAATTAAAGAATGGTCTCTGCGGATCAATTATAGAACTCTTTCGTGTTTCACCATTTCCTCAACGAAATGCATTTGAATGATCATCGTGTTGACCTGTTTCTTAATTCCAGTGAGTATAGGTGCTAAATGAAAAAAAAATTGAATCAGATACAACAAAAATTTGGCAAATTTTTGGGAATAAATGAACCAAAAATAGAGATTTCCCTAAAGTCGTGTTGTGTAGTACATTATTGTCTGATCGTGGACACTTGTGTACAATTTCAGTCGCTAGGGTCTGATTTTAGGGACTAGTGTCAAATTTTTTATGTCAGTATCCGATTGCAGATGCCAGTGTCCAATTTTGGACACTAGCCTGATTTAAGACACAATTGTCTTTAATTTAAGAAGAAAGCGACAAAACTTTTGAGTCTGTGAAACATGTTTCGACAGAAACTTCTGTCATCTTCAGTTAATTATTGTAAAAAGCGTTGGAAGTTGAATTAGATAGTGGGTAGAACAGCGCTAATTATGATAAATAGTGACAACAAGAAAAGAGGTAAAGCATGAAAGTGTGAGAATTAAAAGGATAGTTTTAGATTTACATGGTGTAATTGTTGATTCAAGGATGGTTGTTCTCTTTGAATGTGAATAGCCAATTTTATCTCAAGTTGAAAGCCGGTAGAGGCGTGATCTAAAATATGAAAGTTATCTGCTGAACACAAAGCGCGACAATGCGGGAGAATCTTTTTTAGTCAGTAATTAAAATGGCTGCTCGAATTGCTTAATCGTGGGTATCCAGGCCTTGGGAATGTCGATTCCGCTATCCCTATTGATGTTGTTGGGATGAAGTCTTATATGGATCGCCGCCTGATTTTAGACTCAAGTGTCTGATGTTAGACATTGGTGTTCAATTTTAGACATTAGTGTCCGCTTTGGACATTAGTCCAAAAAAACGGTTTGCCCACTGAAACAGTGAACATTGCTCGCATTGTATATGGTTGAACATTTATTGAAAATGATATCTTTGCATCATACCGTCAAAGTCAAACAAACATTTAAAGAAGTGTTTAATAAGTGGGAAAGACAAAAGTGCGCAAATGTAAGTTTTCAATTTTAAAGCTAGAAATTATGTTCACAATATTTTTTTCATGTTCCCTTAATGATAAACGCCCACGCAACGCGGTGTAATAATAGGTCGCGTGGGGCTAAACATCTTTAGCAGTTGACTCAGTTATTAGCCGTAATGATCATGATCATTACAACAAATCTGAATTGCATTTTCCCATTCTATAGAAACAACCCAGGAACTGGACTCTACGCACAGTATTGTGCAGGGTCAAAAATCGCGACGATGATGGTATGACGTATCATTTCTCGAGCTAAGCGCTAGCCGTTGTTAGAGTGCACTCTGATTACCGTAACGCTTCCAAAATTATCTAAAACCTCCACCGACACCGCCAGATGTTGCATGTACACGTACGATTTACGCACTCAAAGGAACACGTCACAAAACCGTATATACAAGACACTTGCATGTGTTGTGGACCGTTTTAAAACTACACAAGGCACACCGCAATACCGCAATGTAGAATTTCAATTACCGCAATGCCTCCCAAAAAATTGCGCAACACTGAAAATCCCAATGTTCTCTTTTTGCCCTCATTCGAATGTTTAGTCCAATCTAATCTGACACGACAATAGTTAGCATCTGGGGTGCCATAATTGCCAAATAATGATATGTTTATACCTCAGTAAAGAACATCTTGTTTTACATAAGCAATATTTGTTTTCGGGTCACCACCTCTGAACTAACCACATAAAGTTTGTTCTGAAGATATTGTAATCCCTAATCCCTTTCGCATGTGCGATGACTCCTTATTGGACCCCTTTTTGGATCATTTTTGGACTATTTTATGAGGGGGAGAGGCAGATCAGTAGTGCTTAGAGAGAGGTGGGATGCAGTCTATCAACACTCAGGGAGGGGTAGGAGGCACACTGTTGTTAATGAGTCCATTGGTCCAAGGGTCCAGTGGTCCAGTCCATTTTTTAATCCTATACCGGTTCATTTGGATCTTCTAACCTTTCCCACGGTCAGCGCTGAATCTTTATCGGTTTAATAATTAAGATGGGGAATCTGATAACACAGTAAACGGCGAAGATAAAGAGATGGGGGCAGCGTATGTTAATTCTTAATCCGAAAAAACTATAGTTATTAAGGATTATTTTCCACCCAAACATGGCATGATGAACTATATGTTATTTTTCACCCAAACGTTTCGTTAATCAGTGGTTTCGCTGAGGAGTTAATTTCAAGTGGGTGCCGAAAGAAATCCCTTTATGTCCTTGTTTGCGTGTCTACGCCCTGCACTCGGTTTAACAACACGCGCCACCTTGTCGACCAATCAAATAAAAGGTAAAACTAATCGATGGGATTTTTCTGGTTTTGCAAATCTGACTTTACGACTTTTAAAGTCTTTCTTCAGTTTAAAAACAAAGATAACCACCGAATAAATTGGAAAAAAAACTTTTTAAGTTTTTGATTGAGATCAGAGAGCAAAATTTCGCTTTGTGAAGCATCCTCTTTCTCTCGCGTCCTCCCTTTCTTCGAGGGAGCGGGGAAGATTGACAGGGAGCTAGCGCGAAGTCTCGCATGATCCGTCAACATTTGAGGATAAGAGTTATTTGGCCTTGCACATATTTACGGTTGCTTTTCCGTGATTCAGTAATGCATGTCTATATCTCCGATGTTTTGAATTTTTTGCAAGGAACAGTTTTTCAAATTTTCTGCTTGGAAAGAGGAAATGGAATGGATACAATTTCAAGAATTATGTTTAGTGTTGCAACACGAGAGACAATGCGCGTTCTCGTATGTCTTTAAACTGTTTGGCACTCCTTGCGCCTTTTTCATCATCCTCTCCCTGTCCCTTGGTCTACTTGGTCAAACTATACTGACGATGTGAAACAAAAAGGCAAAACTCTTACATTCTTCCTGTGGTCGGTCTAATCTACTCAGCATTATCAAGGAATTGTCACTGATAAGTGATAACTTGAGATCCGAGCAGATGGTCAAAGACGCGATGACAGACTTCAACGCGCGGAAACATGTGACCCTAGTAATGTCCAAACCAGACCGCCTATTATCGTTAATTGAAGATATTTAGAAGTCACAATGCTTCTTTTACACCAAATTAAGTTATAGCCAAGGATTTTGTTTCTTTTTCGAAAAATTTCTCCTTTTAGAACCGCATCATGTTCAAATTTTCTTGTTTACATCAAAGGTTAATTCGGTTACATTGGGTCTTAGCGCAATGTCATCTGATTTGAATTCATTGCATTATATGAGAGCAAGATGTTCATAGCATCCGCACGATACATCCTAAAACCATTTTAAAATATTCAAAAAGGAAAACCGATTTTTTTTTGCTAGGTTTTAAAGGCGTCCATTCACTCGCTGCCAAACGCGCGAGCATTTCGTGATATAGCACCACTTTCATTTTTCTTTTAAAAAACAGGCAGCAAAATTAAAGCAGACAAAATGAGGTTTTAATTATCGCAAACCACGCAATTTTTTCAATAAAATTTTTGGTTCTTAATAAGCTGCCTAATATGTTTGTTTTTTTTATTTAAAAGAAACCGAATGTAACAAAAAACGATAAGATAAGAGAAATTAAGCATTAGATTACGCGTCAAGTGGATGAGAGAACAGATCTTGCCATGATCGCGGTGGCCATGATCGACTGAGCGATCAAACTTTTGCTCACATATTTCACCAAACTTTGCATCCCTGATTCTTTATTGAAGCTTTCTATACACTTCCCAAAATTAAATCTTTAATGTTTCTACCAATTAAGAATCAATTTTGAGATATCTTTGGAGATAACCATCGCGTGTTCAGTCCAGTTTGATTAGACCAAATTCAGCATTCCAGCTGACTACATTAATTACGCAATCTCGTAAGCAACGCTTGCTTAGGTCTTGCACGGTGGTGTAATAAACCCACTTTTCACTCAATTTGACTTCAAAAGGGTCAAGATTTTCTCGTCAATTTGAAAAAGATTAAATAAGTGAAATTGTCCAGAAGAAGGGGATCAAAACAAACATCAGTGCGACAATCGCTTACCGATGTTGAAATTTTCATTTCCTGTTGACGGTGGCAAACAGGAAAAAGATGCAGGCCCCTTTCCCGAGTTTGAGGTCACGCGAAAAAATGTTTTGCCAATAAGAAACACATGGTAGATCTTTAAGCACCCGATAATTGTTAAATAAACTAAGTCACCAATTGTTTGTACTTATTGTTTTTCAATAGCCCCGGTTCGAGGCAAGATTTGTTAAAGAAGTTGGTAAAGTCGAGGAAAAAAGATATTGAACATCGCCGTTCGACAACACTAAATTCTCTCTATGTGAGATAATGGTAAAGTGTCAAGAAAACAGTAAGACCTCTTCAAAGCTCGTGCCTTAGTTACCCCCTGCCAAATACCGCGCCACGAAACCCTACCCCTGCCCTTTATATGATCGGCTTTTATACCAAGAGCATCCCACTTGAATTAAGAGCTTTGTGTTTGCAGCTGCAGCGACACGTTGAAAGTTTATCGAAAATGTGGCATAGTGAGTTTACAACAAATTGGCCCGGTATGGTTCAGCAACAGATGCTTCCATCCAGTTACCTTGAAGACGACGACGACTCACACGTGAAAAGGCCAATGAATTCGTTCATGATCTGGGCAAAAATTATGAGAAGGAAGTTTGCTGAGGAGAACCCTAAACTACACAATGCAGAGATCAGCAAGCTGCTGGGCAAGGCGTGGAATGAGCTGACCACGAAGGAAAAGCGGCCGTTTGTCGAGAAAGCAGAAAGGCTTCGAATTCGTCACATGAAAGAGCATCCTAATTACAGGTACACGCCAAAGAGGCGATCGCAAGACAGACGGCCTGGTCAGCGAACAAACTCCACTTACATGAACCCGAGCTTCATCAGCAACATTTCAAACGTTGTAATGAACAGTCAGATATTTGGACTGCCTCCTACTCCAGAACTTAGTCCTAAAGACAGACATTGTGCTTCCACTCCATACATAGACCATGCAGGACAATACTATCCGACGGGATATGAAGATTGGAACTACAATACGTACAGGGAATCGTTCGGCAATCATCGTGATTACAATGGTTATCCTCCGACAAGATTAGAAAGAGACCAAGGCAGACCTCAATTTAACGGTCCTTCAACCTCTGACTATCCTAATCCACGATTTAAAGGAGCCATATGCTTCACACAAGATAGAGACACTTTTAGTTATAATGATGAGACTAGGCCTGGCACAAGCTCAGAACAGATGTTTCACCCAGAAAACGCAAGGAAAGACGTAACATTTCCACCTTGCGCATATCAGTCCGGAAAGATAAAATCACCAGAGAATTATTATTTTAATGAACCTCGTTCATCGATTGTCAAAACTGTGGTACATTCCGCAGGAAACGTTGGATCTACGTTGGCCACAGGCGAACAGCAACAATCTCAAAAAATCGTCAGAAGAACACGCTTAAGTTCTTGTAGATTTGCACAGCCTCAAACTGTAGAAAATGACGACGAAGAAGAAGGTGAAGATTATTCTGGACGGATGAGAGAAAACTCGGGGACAATTCTAGAAAATTTCACCGAACTTTTAAGCGATGATTTAGACAGAGAGGAATTTAGTATGTATCTCGCCGAGGCGTACTGACTGAAGTAAATTCTTCCATTGTAAACACTTTTAAGGATCAGTGTTACCCATCGAAATCATCGCATAATGGTAAAACTGTGAGAGACGAAGTACAGTTTTTATCCATGAAAGGCCGGCATTAAATTGCTATTTGTTAAATATATCAGAAGGTGGCACGAGTGGTTAACGAGTTTAGAATGATATTACATTATACTAATCGAGAGTGCTTTTGCTGTAAACAAACTGCTGTATCCTGTGTTTTTGGGAACTGTTTTCTTTCACCTACAGAGTGTCTCGAGGACTTGTGAACAGCGCATTTGCAGGCCGTTGATAGAGGCCTGCTATTATCCGTATATAGCGTTTGTGACGAAAACCTTTCGTTGTTCCACGGCGCTGAAGCTGCAATGATAAGGCGTTGAAAAAAGTCGAAGGTTATCTCCTACGATTGATAGCTTACTTACTTTATTATGTTAATACTATGCTAGAAACATTAGGAATTTAAGTGCAATTTTGGTTAAATCCGTAGCAAATGTCGCCTTTTAAATTTCCAAAATAGCTTCAGCGTTGTAGCAATTAAACATGATAGCTTGGTCCAGACGCCGACGTGCTCATAAATCAAGTTCTCAGTGGTTCTTTTGCATCATACCGGCAAATTTAAACTGGGTTTCACTTTGCACGGGATCATTTTCAAAAATTCATAATTGTCATACAATCGGGACCTTGTTGCGAGAAACAGAATTAGAAATGTCTTATGTCACTGATAAATGTTTGATGCTTTTTTTTCAAACTATTCTCGTTCTTTACGTTCTTGAGGTTTCTGATGTCCCCTGCTGTGGCAAACTATCATAGCGACAGTTGTCGACAAAACCGCCTACTATGTGTGCTGCAGTTTGTAGATAACTTTACGAGGCGGTGAAATTTCTCAAATTATTATAGGAGCTGTTGACTGATTACGGCTTAAACATCTCAGTCGTTCCTGCGTTAAATACATAAACATCTTCTTTGAAGCAGGCTTTTTTTTGACATGGAAGCTGTTCAGAGACGTATCAGAATTTTTAGGCAAACTCACTGGGCATTAATAATTATAATAATTTATTGACTTATACTCCGCAGTTATCAATATAAACTTTTCAATTGCGCATTACAATATTAAAAATTCAACTATATCTAGATATTAAATGAGCATTGCACCAAAGGATTAAGTCTGACCTACTATTGCAGAGGAATTTAACCAAAACGATTCCCAAATTAATCGACAAAACCATTACCGTGAATTTCTGGTTCATTTTAGCCTATGTAAAAAGTTGGTGACTAAGAATGATCTGATGAGAGCCCAACATAGGTTTTCAGTTAGAACTTCCAACAGATTTTTAAGAGAAACGAGTCATTTCATGGTCCCACGGCTTAACTTTTTCTGACTCGAGGAACCAAAAAACAGTGAAAGAAAATTGTACATGTACCTTTCAAAGTTTTTCATGTCAGCCTGCTAAAAATACTGAAAATTTATTCAGTATTAATTTATCGGCACAGTATGCCGAGTGCAAGGTGATTCACAAAAAAAAACAATAATCAATGGAAAAAGAATGAACATAATTTATCGGTACACTGAAACCGATTCTATATTTTGTCCCTGTCCTGTTCGTCAAACAAGGAGTCGGTTTGTTTTCCTTACGTCGAAGCAGCAGTTGAACTCAGGTTTTTTTCCCCCAACTCTTAAATTCATTTGAAAGCCTTATTCGTTGTCCTGAATCTAGATCTCTTCATAAAAAAGAACATTTTATCAAACCTAACCCATCATGTTCATAGCATTCTTTTTACTGTTTTTAAACTGTTTAGTGAAGTTGATATAGGTTGTACAGTTTTTTCTATCACCCCGCTTAATATACTTTGTTCTCCTAATAGAGGGGTTATTTACAGTAATTATGTTGAATCGAATGAGGGAATTTAAACCACTGTCTTCTTAATGAGGGTTTCCGCTGAGTATAGCACCACTTAAGGCATTTTACACTTTAGCATTTCATAATTTTGATAGGAGCCTATCAAGTCCATTCAAGAACTTAGCTGAAATTAAAAGTAGCAATGCACTGACCCATGAGCAGCGTAACCCCTCCGGCAAAATTCTTCGTTTTTTACCACAGGAAATATTTGTCTGGATTAAGAAATTTTCAGTCTACGACGACAGACGATCTGTTTTAGCAGAGATATTTGTTGGGCATGGAAGGTAACATTATAATAGTGTCCTTTATTCGTTTTACATAACTCTCCAATTATCACCTTGGGTTAAGTATGACAGATTTTCAGCTTGAGTCGAGGAAGAACCTTTTCTTCTCTGTGATATTTTTTAGCACTTTCCGCTCCAGTTCATAAAGTTTTTTTTTCTACCTTTTTCCTTCAAATAGTTTCAGAGTATTTTGATGTTACCTTTTGGCTGCCTGTAGGCCGTTTTGGAGCTATCAAATTGTTGCATGCAGAACTGTTTGAGTTTGATAGACGGCATAAAGCCTCATGCTGGCTAGAAATACATCTTTATAATTTTTCCAATGTCACTAAGGGAAACACGATACAGCAAAGGGAATTTGGGCCAGCCATTCTGGAGATTTTTGGTGCCAAACCCAGCTGAAAGGCCCTGAGAATTATGAGTGGATGTAAGAGAAGCTGTTGGAACTCATAACTAGCTAGGAAGGTTAGGTGATGATGATTAAAGGTGCTGCTTTAAAAATCACTGCCACTTTGTTTTGAGCAAAACCGCTGTTTGGGGCTGTATCATGGATACGAGAAAGAGTTTTTCTGCAGCGGGATTTTCTTTCCTTCCGGCCAATGCTGGTAAATCCATTGGATTGATTCCAGTCTATCTCATCTCTTTTACACAGATTGATCCAATTCTCTCAATAATCTACACTTCCGGTGAACAGTTACCGCTCTTATCCTCGATCAAGCAAACCACTGATTCTTTCTACGAATCCCATACATTTCTCTTTGGATCAGTTTTGAGAATTGAGTAGTTCATTACCACAATTTCGTGCACTGTCTGACTATGCAAAGTCTTAACAATAAACTCAGCTATTGAAACAACTCCCTCAGCTAGGCGCGCCCATTTTGGGCTCAAATGCTCCAAGCAAGGAATTTGAGTGAGAGTGTTTTTTTGTGCTGCTCAAAGTCGTCGCTTCAGCTGAAACTAACATTGGTTTCCGTGAGCGAGACTTGCATGCTTTTGGTTGCAAAGTTACCAATGGGCTCAAATCAACTCTCTTCAGCAAAGTGCAAGACACCTTTCCTTTGCCTCCAAATACATATAGGTAATTATCGATTTAACCCTAATAATCTTATCGCTATAGTGTTCGATAATTCATATGGAACAATTCATAGTTCAAGGCATGTATTTGATTCATCTATTTGGGCTTAAATTGTACCCATGAAACATAATCCTTACGAGGAAAGGTACTTCTAAAGAACGATAAATTTATAAATATCTTGAAAAGACTATTTGACGACACTTTATATCCTTTAAGTTTGTTTGTTTATAGTAATCTCAACCGTGGACCTCCTGCTGAGCTCTATCCAATTAAAAGTGGGACCGTTTTGGAATCGCAATTTTTGAGTCTCAGTTGCGAAATATTCAGCGATAACTGCAGAAGCAGTGCTCGTTTTGAGAAAAGCTTGCGACTTTCCTTCAAGGAGAGCATCGACAAGCGTCTAAAATAGCCAATAATCATGCCGGAAAAGTGAAGGAAAAAGCTCAGGAGCAACAGAGTACGCCGCAGGATACCCTTCGAACTATAAAGGCGCACTTACACATATCTCTCTCGCATGTTTCTTAAACACCAACAGATTCCCTTAACCGTCATTCAAAGTATTGACATATAACCATTTTAGACTGTTGTTAATGAAAAACAGATTTACAACCATGGTGAGTAAAGAGTACTTCTACATTCCGTTAAACTGTAAATTCTTTGGTTTCTCAAAAACATGTCATGACCATAAACTGAGGGAACCCTTGCTTTCCAATTTGTTAAGAGTTTTTTGCCGTGGTTCAAATTATTATTTTCTTGGTAACCATTATTAATGCTTTGCCATCCACAAGGCACTTTGTCAAAGCCGTAAATATGGTATACGATTAGTATAAATGATCTTCTTGGTAGTCCCGCCTATTCGTTAAGACGCAATATGTTAACTTGGACGGCGAACAGATGAGTTTAAGTCGGTATGCCAGACCTTTCGAAAAAAACACCAGCTTTGTTATCGCATATCGACCTTGCAATGGCCTGGCTCATCATCTCCGTAGCTTAGTGACGGAGCATCGAAGCGGGATATCCGAAGGTTTGGGTTCCGATTCCCGGCAAGGAACTCCGAATAATTCTTAGTCCCACATTCGTGACACGAAATATGACATATGTTCTTTGTATGCTGTTCTTAGTTTCTCGGCTGAGTCATGGGCCTCAAGTTTGAAGATTCAATACGTCCATTTTGAAGTGACAGGTGATCCTTGTCATCTGATTGGCTCTCACTGCAGCGATTTATTCACGAATCGCACAAGTTTTTGCTCTAAATCGCATCTCTTTTCCAACCAATAAGGAGCTTAACTAAAATACAACAACTAAAAGTAACCAGTCAAATTTCAGGAAAATGAAAAACAACTTTTGCAACTTTCTTCAAACCAGCACACTTATAGATCAACAAAACATTTGTACACACCGGCTAAAAAAATCCTGTATCTGAGCGACTAAATTTGGCGATTTCAAAATTAATGTTGTGAAATTTGGTCTGAAACCATACTCGTGATTTCAAATCAAACTCGTACTTCACACTCATTTGCTTTTGAAATCAATCTAATGATTTCAGACCAAATTGCACTCCACTCAGTTCACTTACCATTATAAACCGTCATTTCTCTTTTACGTACCTACCTAACTTAGTGTAAAACGTCATTGCGTTATTCCATATAAGGAGGAGTATGAGCAGAGTAGCCGTAAGGTTTTTCCCGAGGGGGACTTAGGAACTCTCCACCGTTTAAAGGCCAAACCCAAAACGTATGGAAACTTCATATCTTAAATGTAATGGCATTCATTCAAAATTCACCTGATTGCGGTAACTTGGTCATAGAAATAGCAAATTTAAACAGTTGTTGGATCAATATCAGTATCTGGGCAACTGCCCACCTACCCCTCCCCTAACCCAACATTAACCCTAACTTGTTATCAATCGATTGTTGTTGAGTTAGGGGAGGGGTAGGTGGGCAGTTGCCCAGATACTGATATTGATCCCAGTTGTTGAAAAAAATCCAAACAAAACGTTGACGCCCTTCATCATCGATGACAGTCAAGCATTGCACATCATTATGTTTACCCTTTACATAAAGCAGGGACGAGCTCTAGCTTATATAAACAAGCACCTGACGTTTAGCTAAGTCCGTTTCTCACTGGCGCATGTTTCATTCCCGCAAAAGTCGTTTGCGTAGTATAAGTGGTATTCTTGTCGTTGCAAGAACTTGTGGCAATAAAAGAACCTCACAGGTATGATATAAGGGACAAGGGGGAGGGGGACTGGGAGGTTCCTGACCCTCTTGAACTTTCCCCTGTACACCTTCCTCTGCACAGCGACAGCGGGATATTTTAAAGAACCTTACGGAGATTTTTTAAGCGACAGCGATCAACTTAGGTAATTTTAATGAGTCTTTGTGTTCGCGTCTGTACTAATAACAAGGTTAGACAGGACACTAATGGATTCTATTAAATGGTGGTCATTTGAACGGTACAAAAGCGTGATTTAGCCGGTGTTGTCCGACATCTGAACCATCTTTGGTCAGGGCGATAGAAAAATGAGCGGGTTACTTTCTTTTGGTTAAGGTCGGCGGTAGTTTTGCAGCCATACCATAATGGCCATACTTATCGTATACCACCCACAGTCAATATTTTTGCACGCAAATAAGATGATAGTCACACTATATTTTCATTCAAATAAATAGACTTCTATCAATTATAACGATCTATTAGATCTAATTTTTAAAGGGCTGAAAGTAAATTAGAATTTTAAATGGTGAGAAATTGTTTAGCTGATCACATCTTGTACGTATATATTATAGAGCTAGTAAAGAGATTAAGAACCACTCGTTATTTATCACGTAAGAGGAGGGGAAGGGTTTTTTCCCCTGGGGGGGGGGGGAAATAACATGGTTTTCAGGGGGAGCGGAGGGGGTATAAGTCGTCGCCAGCAGAGTATAAATGGGGGTGTTGGGGTTTTTATTTGCTATATCCTCCGATAATTAGATTTATAAGATTCCAAGATTTTAACTCGTCAAAAAGAAACTATCCGTTCTCGAGGAAAACAACTTCTCTCGAAGGCTTTAACTCAATTCTGGTATATGAAAGCTATGCGTGTGTAAATAAACACGCCCTTTGATAAGATAAGCAGTATTCGGTTTTATGCTCGGTTCTAATTAAAAAGTAATAAAATGTTCGCAGTGTTGAGTTCTGAAGGTTCGCAAGGTTCAGTTCTGAGATTCGTGTTCCGTTTCTTCATAGGGGGAATATAGAAAATTGAGTGCTAATTAACTGCCAATGAAGGGTGATCATTAAAATATCACAGAGTTTCATGTGATGATATTGGTAACAAATCATGATCGGTCCCTTAATAAGGTTATCATTGTCAATTTAAGAGAAAAACTGAGTAGTTCTATACATAGGTTATGCACCTATAATTTTCAAGCTGTTCCACAAGGTTTCCATTGGCTGCATCATCGATATCGTCTCTAGTATACGAAGTGTTCTTGTACCTTATTGATGACGTAAACTCCTCTGTCAGCGTTTCATTTCTGCTACTCCGATTGCTCGATAGTGTTGGTGTAAGAGGCGTTGAAGGTATGTCACTTTGAGGTGCACTTGACCTACCACAAACGATAGCAGCTACTGCCTTTCGAAAGTTGGGCATCCTCCAAGCATAAAGAAACTGATTCATCGAGCAGTTGACTAATGTCAGAAGGAACTGTAAATCCCGTAGCCAGTGGATAAGTATACAGTCACAATCATTGCAAAGGTTTATCATGTATATCATGACACACGATGGTATTAAACACAAAATGAAACACATTAAAATCAAGCTAAATGACCGCGTAAGTTGTTTTTCCATGGCCATGGCTTTTGACACGATGCGGTCTTGACAAAATGAACGCCAACGAGACACCTGAACTCTTAGCTTGTAATGAATCTGACAGTAAGAAAATGTGACAATCACAAATGTGGTGATAACTGCGGTATTTGCGAATATAAACGCAAACAAGTAAAACCCAGTAGCGAAATAAACGAGAGGTATCGTCAGAGATAAAAACCATATTAACGCACAGATAAGAACCACTGAACGAGTGGAAAATTTCCTTCTGATAGTCACGATTGTTAAATGTCTGTCAAGAGTTAGAGCAGTCAGACTAAGAAGTGAAGCTGTACAAGAGATGAAAAACGTTAAGTGAACAATCCATATCGTTCCTGAGACACCGTGGCCAAGGGCTTCCCGAATATGCCAAACGACGAATGCTGGTTCGGTGAAAATCCCGACAATGACGTCACTAAATGCCAGTTGGAGGACAAAATAGTTGAATGAGTTAGATAATTCCTGATAAGGATCTTTCAAAATGGCAATGCAGATCAGAATGTTTCCTGGAACTGTAATACAACAAAGCAGTAAGGAGAGACATGCAGTCGTCACTGATGTAGCAAATGGTGCGTGCACGTCGTCACATAAATTCATCATGAAAACCATCATGAAATGTCTCTTGTTCTTCTACCTTCAATAAAAATACAGCATTAGTTTGACATTTTACATGAAAATAGGGTATCATAAATAAATCATATTGTTGACCATATTATTCTCAAGCACTTGATCCCAACGACAAATTAATAAAAAAAACAGTGGTTGAATGAAGGTCATCATTCTTAATTTTCTGAAACCTCTTGGGCTTGCATCTTTCGTTTTCCCAATGAAGGTCTTTCATGAATCATACATACATAAGAAGGTGAATAGTACGAAATTTGAAAGAAACTGCTCTCTTGAGTATTATCACATGACCTAACTCACAGCACATTGGAAAAACAAAATATGCAAGCTTATTCAAGAGACCTATTCAGGACTATCTATATTGTGAGGTTCAAGAGGTCAAAGCCAGCAAATAGGTTCAAGTAATTACATTTGTTGATTTTATGATTTCTAAATACTAAACAATATTGATCAGCAACGAATCTATTTTCAAAGACCCAAGGAGAACCAGTACAGGGTTTGCTAAGAAAATATTCCTTCGCGTGGGAAAAAGGTTGGCTGTATACTGTCTTCCATTTTTTTTCCTTTTAATGTAAACACTGGCTCAAAGAAGGCACTAATTTGGTTTTATCAACTGAATTGATAAAGTGAATTGGCTACTGCAGGCGGGTTATAGAGCAGATATTTCGAGCATTAGTCCTTCGTCAGAGCGAATCAGACTCGCCGTGATGGAGGGCTAATCTCTGGAAAGGTAAGCCTTAGATCCTCTCTAAGGTAGCCAACTCACCCTATAAACTCAGTTGATATAAAACCAAGTTATCTTGTAGAAACCCTAAAAGACGCAGCACCACAGTTTTTTTAGAAACTTACCCCCTTTAATCATATTTTAATCATTTTCCCATCATTTGGCAAGTGTCGCACAGATAGTTCATAGATAAGCGACCAACCGATAAGTTTTGTCAGTGTTCTAATCTGTTTAAGCATACTAAATATTTGTTTGTGTTCCCGACACATAGGCAAATTCATGGCATATATTTTTCAACTGAACTGAAACTTTGGTAGAGAATAGACCAAACAGAAATAACTGACTGGCGAGCCTTAAAGAATTTCATACCATATGTCGCCTTTGTTGGATAACAATAATTAAAATTGCAAAACAACAATTTTGGGAACGCAAAGTAGGTAAGGAATAGAGTCACGTACGCTTATAAACATAGTAACCGTCACAGCTCCCCCATTGTGTTCATCAGTAATCTAATTGGAAATCGTGTTGTAAACAAGCCTTCTAGATCAAAATTACAAGTTCTAACAAAGAAAAGGCAGCTACTGGGCAATCTTAGCTCTTACCTTTACGTATAGTTCAAACCGGCTTTTTCTACTGAATTTATTCAACAGTGCAACTGAAAATCTTTGAAGATGGACTTGCTTCATGTGAATGTGAAGTTGTCCACATCTGGTCCTATTCCAGTGGGATATGAAGTGTTTGTTTTCTGAGACAATAAGATCATATTTTGACTTGTTAGTTAAAACAAAACATCGTCTAAAGGGGATCAAGATAAGATCATGCGTGAAATGATAATGACGACGCTGAGTTCAGTAATATAAACACTTCTAAGTGATCGACCAGTCATGCATACCGTGAAATAATAATAATAGAAAATCCGTTCTTCATCAGTGATAACCAAATTGAAATCATTTTCCAGTATTATCACATCTATGGGCTAGGTTCACAAATTGTTCTTCTCCGTGATACTTTCATTTCCTTTTTCTGAAGATTGGATTTTCATTTTACGTCTACAAACTCTGTGGCTCAAAAAGACAAAACATAGCATCAACAACAAAACAAGACTGTATTCGTTATTGATGCTTCCACACTTGGACGTTTCCTGACTTTCTTTCCTTGCAATTGCTATCAGACAACGCCCAATTATTTTTCAACAACTTTTAATCGTACTTCTGACAAAGAAAGTAAACATGCCAGCATTAGAGCCTGTTAGAAACGCTTCTAAGTTAACTTTCATCTGTCGAAAACAAGTTCATTGATTGCGGTGTTTTCTATACATTTTTAGTTTCTTTTTTATTTATTTATTCTCCATACTACAATAGAAATTAACAAGGAAACTTGATAAGCTAAGCTAAATATAGCAATGTGTATGGCGAGAAAACCTGAATGAAAACACGAGCCTTACATAAGGTTAGGATTCCTCCTAAAAGACGCAGAGGTGTGAAGCCAGATTCGTATCAAGGAGAGAACCCACGAAAAAACAAAGGAGTAAGTTGATAATTGTGTGATTAATGAGCGATTCCTCACTCCTCGAAGTTAAAAAAGAATTGGATTTTTAGTCAGAGTCATCTTTAACTATCGAAAAGTTCATGAGACTCTGCTGTAAGAGCTTTTTCCTGTTTTTAAATTTTGACTGAATTTGCTATGAGGATCACAGAACATATAAACGTATCTTTTTCGCAGTTGTGTAAATTTAGACACTTATAACTACAACAACACTAAGGACACTTAAGTGTTCCTGTAGTCGGTCGGACTTGTTGCGTCATAGAAAAATGTGTCTAATAATGATTGGGAAATCTAAAAATTTCATTATCGAAGAGTCATGAATGATGAGTTGACAAATGTTGAAAACACTTTTCATAAGGCTAATTATCCTCAGCAAATTTATCTATCACAATTCATTTTTTGTTGAGGAGGTTGTACCAACTCAACATTAACTTCAGTCTGCGGAGATGTAAAGTGATTTAAAGAACTTTCGCTTAAAATCTACTGGAAATCTTTGGCTTAGGCTTTTTTCTTCTTTGCTTTGTTTTTCTCTAAAGTAGACCGTTCGAAAAAAAATTGACCTTTCTCGGACCTTTCCTCAGGGTTGCCCTTAGGATCAACAATGCTGAAAATCACGCGCCAAAGAATGATTAATAGTCACTTTTCCAAAAACAAAAATCAAGTGAATGTAAGCATTTTCGAATCGCATGTTGCGTTAAAGCCGTGATAAGAAACTTCTGTAAAGAAATGAAGCGCGACGCAAACGCCAAGCGCATTGCACACCAACGCCGCTAGACAATGTTTACCTCACAGGCGCTTCTACGTTTGTTCTCTCGCTGGAATAAACAGCGGTTTGACTGAGTTATGTAACAAACAATTACTTGCCCAGTCAAATTTGTATTCCCTTCCCTCAGTTGTCCGTCTGCAGCGCTTTTAGACACCATATATAGCAACTCTAGTTTGTTTAGTTTTCTGTCTGTCTGGCAGGTACCTGACAGAGATCTCAGATGGAATCTTTTGTCAAGCCGAGCCTCTTGGAAGTTTAGAAATTACCCAGATTTTTCCGTGACACCTAATATCCTAAAGAGGGATGATCAAATTCTAAACCACTTAGGAAAACACTTTGAGACGGCGGCTATGAATCTCAAACCGATGAAATGACAAGAAAAAGTAACTGTTCAAAGCCACTTAGCCGATACAGCCTTGTAGAGGTAATTCCTAATGGGAGAATAACCAGAGTAACCCTGTACTAGCTCCAATGGTGAGTAAAATTTACGATGATTTTTATTACGTAAGTCGTTTCAGCTTTGAGTAGTCGGTCTGTGTGCATGCATATCCTTGCAAGTAAGGCAATTTGCAGGAATTTTGCCAAAAGATAGCATCGTTCGGCTTGATCTCACGTTGAGAAATCTTTCGTCCGCGAATTAGATGCCATCTTGATAAATTTACGAAAAACTAACTCTCGACAACCCAGGCGCATATCATCATCCCTGCCTTCCAGAAGTCCTCCGTCACGCCAACGTTTGTTAGAAGTGATGTATGCGTGACAGTTTAAGGATTTATAGCCAGTGTAGTTTGTTATTACTACACTTTTAAGTTCAGAAAGACGAATAGAAGACGAATTAGTTGTAGCTTTATAAAGAGATGTTCTTGCTTTCGGAATTTAGAGCTACGGAAAAAAAAAACCTTTGAAAAATAATTAGTACAGAATTCCTTTAAATCAACGCTTCTTAGAAGTGTAAACCTATCTGGTAAGATTTAAAAAATTGACAGTGAATGTCTATCGTCGCTCACTATGAAAATGTCATAAGACAACGATAGAAGAGGTAAATCTGCAAAAAAAAAGTCAACTCAAGGCACAAGTTTCCTCCCTCACTGTTCTCCTTACAACATTTTTCTGTTCTAACCTTAACGACAGTGGGCAGATAAGTTAAATTACCAGGTGCGTTGCTCGAAATATGTAATCATGTTATCAAAAGGGCTGGATCATACCTTCTAGACCAAAAAGGTTTCCAAGACACAGCAAACAATACTTATAAACAACTGGAGCGTTTTGGTTTGCTGTAAGTTGGCGGCCCAAACTGATTTTTTCGGGGGGTACTTCCGAGTTCTTTAAGCCTCGGATTTCGCTTGTCCTATCCCCTCGCATGCACTTCTCAAAGTTTATTTGTTATTCTGCAACTTTTTCCTATCCAATCACATCCTATTTTTTCATGGTCATTGAAAATTGTTTCAACAGTTAAACAACTTTATGTTACTTAACCCTAAACTTAGGGGAGGAATACCTATTACAAGATTTTGCTTACAACAGGGCAAGTTATCAGCAAGACAACAGGATTGTTGATTCTTCAAGATTCTCAAAAGGAAGTGAGCGCAATCGAATAGTGTGGACGAGACCAAAAGTGTCACGTGCCTAACGTGTCGGTCTTGTGATACCTGTTTACCCAATGACATAATAAAACGATTTCGCAAAAAAATCGAGATTGAGTAATCAAATGCTTTTATTATGAACCAACTAGTCGTTCAAAACTTGATAACAAGACAGGTTCATGTTTTAATTTTAATTTGTTGACCATCTCACACCGTTGGCTACTTTCTTTACCCGCAATACATAACGGAATAGCAAGTAGTGTAACCAATGAGATTGCAACATTTGCGATGGAGCGCTAGAGAATTTATACCACTGAAAGATGAAGGTAACTTCACTTTTGTTACAGGTTGAATCGGAATGATGCCTTTTATCAAGAATTTATGCGAGGATACTCGGCCACCTTACTCCTTGTCGATGTTCACGGCCTCTGTATCACTGGTGCTATGTTTAATCACGGTGCCGGGAAATGTGTTGGTTTGCTTAGCAATCTTCAAGGATCCTTACAAAGAACTGAGGACGTCGTTTAACTTTTTTGTATTTCAATTGGCCATTAGTGACCTTGTAGTGGGAGTTTTGACCGAACCAATGTTTATTTGCTTCCACATCAGAGAGGCCATGAAGTATCCGGTCATGGAGAATATTTGGGTTATTCACCTGACGTTTTTTATATCATACGCTGCGTCGCTGTTAAGCCTGGCAGCGCTAACTCTGGACAGATATCTCACAGTGATGTCACACCACAGAAGGCTGTTATCCACCACTCAAATCACCCTGATATCTGTGCTGATATGGGTGATATCTTTTTCGCTGCCATGTTTGTATTTCGTCACCGGATTTTACCTGTTTGCGTTCATGTTTACAAACGCTTCTCTCATCATAATAATCAGCATATTAACGTTTTCATATATCCGTATCCATCAGAGACTGAAAGATCAGATCTCTCGCTGGCATTGGTTCAAACAAACACAGATCAAACTGACCGCGATGTCGTTAGAGAAAAAACTGACGAGAGCCTTTTACATCATTCTCGGTATATTCCTCATGTGTCTACTGCCATCATTTGTAATGATTTACATCATCATCTTCTGTGATGAATGTGACTGCACGCTCGTTCATTGGATGAGAGACTTGCAATTCATTTTCCTGCTGCTGAACTGTTCGTTAAATCAGTTCTTATACGCCTGGAGAGCACGGAACTTCCGCAAAGCCATCTCTGCCGTGTTTTGCAAAACAGTTTCATACCAGGTGAACGCTGAGCTTGCCGGCAACAACAATGGCATAATTGCCGCTGATTCTAATTCAGCTGATGTAATAGAACTGATTCCTCTGGACCCCACGAAACTTTCCCCGATGCCTATAGAAGAAATGGGTCAGACAAACCAATTCTCCTTTCAGTCTTCAGAAAAAAGAAATTAAAGACAAAGCGAAGTAGGCAAGGCTATCTTAGAAGGTAACTGATTGCAAGTTTATGATGGAGTGCTGAAGAAATAGAGTACATCTTCCTTCGTTGGTATAGCAACCTTTTAGGCCTATCCAGAATATTTTCTCTGGCGCGCGACTGGTTTAAACGCAGAAAAAGAGACAATTCTTTTTTTCTTTTCATGGAGTCGCTCTAAGAAGTGACGGTGAACTGTTCGTAATAGTTTCGCACCGCGCGCCGGGAAAAAAAATCGAAGGATAATAAGAACCCGCAACTTCTATTTGGCTTCAAAATATGCTCGTATTTTTGTCCCTGGACATTGTCTTTCCTTGAAGCTTTTCCTTGAAAAAACGGTCCGCCTCTCAGAGAAGGCAATGTCTGCGGGCTGATACCTGAGCATGCTTTTACGCCAAATGAAGCTATCGCGTAGTAACTGTCTCATCGTTGCTAGTTCAACCATTCGACCCATCATAGTGATCAAATATTGACCTTCATAACAAGATGTCTGGTGACGAAAATAAACATTGCACACAATTCCATAGTTCCATCTGCACCTTTGTGTCTCTGTAAACATGGCTGTTTCATGAGTTTTGCATCACAATGAAATTAACGTTTGGGTTCATGAGCTTGTAGTAAAATGTTATGTGATAAAATCTCATTTCAGCTGACATTTTTACCGCTCAAGAGATTGGGGCGAGGAAACACTTGTCAGCTTAGGCTCCTTACAACTGATCAAGATAATGTTGATTGTTGAATCTCGTTTTATTTTAAAATTCTTCAGAATAGTTTCGTAAGGCTTTTCTACGGGTTTTCTGCTTGTGTATGGATCATTTTCCATGATTGCTGACAAACCTTCGGGCTTCGGGGAATATTTCGTGCTGATTTGTGCGCTGCAACTGTAATATTTAGTTTATACTTTACCCTATTTTTCGTTTGTGATTCCCCCTTTGAAATAATATTAAAGGAGTGCTACCCGGCGAAATCGGATGAGTATGAATATAGTGCATCCAACAAATTATTCGTTTCAGCAAGATAGGGAAAAGTCAAAAATTTGAAAAAGAAACCGAGATTGTTTGCGAAAATTGAGGAGAATTTTCGAAGAATTTTCAATCGCTTGGTTATCGAGTTCGCATTTGTGGAAATAAGATTTAACGAATCACAGTTACAAAACAAAACTATAATCTCCCTGCATGAGATAAATTTTGATGAAAGCTTAAAATCTATTTCTAGGAGTCTATCTTGTATTTGGCTTAGCCTTTCCATTTAATCTTTTTCTCACTTATAGCGGAATTTCATTTGCAAGGCAAAATGAAACTAACACCCTCTTTTATAGTGTAAACGAGGTTCATTCAATTGGCACAAGGAATGAATAATAAAAATATATAACAGGCAATTTTCGTAGCTCGAAACGTGTGCTTTTAAGATGTTTATTCGTATTAACTGTCAAATATTAATGAGTGAAACTACATAAGTGAATCGCCGTAATTTCTCGGGTTACCCACAAATAGCTCGGCAATATTTACCTTAAACGCAATGAAGCCGATTTGTTACATCGATTTCCCGATATCACAATTCATCACGTACTTATAAAATTTTTCAGGCTTATAACAGCCCACTTATTTCACAACGGGCAACACCACACTTTTTGATGTACTAAAACTTTATGGCGATCGATCCAAAACATTATCATTCGCCAATTTCAGTTCAGGCTGATTTGTTAATTAATTCAAATTCAACCGGAAAATGTCAGTTTACTTATTAACAGAATACATAAAAGAAATATTGCCGAGGCGACTTAAAACATCTGCCCCGAGGTATCCTACAGCGCCAAGTGGAACTTTGTCACAATTCAGTCACGTATAAATCGAACATGAAAGGATGACAGGAAAGGAAAAAACTACTCAAGTGAAGCTCAAATACTATAAGAAAATTTGGTTTTAAGGTATGGGTTTATTTCATCACAAAATTAAGTTGGTAAATGTCAACAATGACAGAGGGTTTCTAAATTACTTTCCAACAGAGAGATGTCAATGCTTTCAATAAATATCTTTTCATCTCGTTTCACCTTTTAATTTCTTTTCTTTTTTTTGAGAAATCACAATTGCCACTGTCGTGAACCAACCAATAAAAGGAACTTCATTTGCAGTAACAGATTGAATGGGTAAGAAGATTTAATAAAGAAACTCATTCTTACATTTCCAACGAGTGTCAAGTTCCATACTCACAGGTGAGAGAAGACGCTCTCGTATGGATTTTGATGATACATTTCTTGTTATTTTGCGATGAACTTTGGTTCTAATCTCTGCGATGATGAATGGGCCCCGTTTGCAACGTCAGTCACTACAGCTTGCGTGTCGGCCATATTATGTGTAATCACGGCTCCAGGTAACTTGCTTATCTGTTGGGCGATCATCAAGGATCCGAACAACGAGCTGAAATCTTCGTTCAATTATCTGATTCTGAACTTGGCCATTGCGGATTCTTTTATTGGAGTTGTGACAGAGCCTGTATTTGTTTGGTATCACACCTCTGAAGCAATGAAATACGAAGTTCTTGGCCTTCGTTGGTTGGTTTATATGTCATATTTTATGACTTCTACCGCCTCAGTGTTAAGCATAGCTGCGTTAGCAACAGATCGTTACCTCGCCTTGACTTCTACTACCATTAGAAAACTGTCCTCTTCAAGCGCTATTACAGTTTCCATCGCAATATGGATTTTCTCATGCGGTTTACCTTTTCTTTATTTCGGGACTGGGTTTTATACGCTGGCGTTCGTTTTTGCCAATACCACAATAATTCTAACTCTGATTCTTTTAGTTTTTTATTTTGCACGTATTGTAAAGAGTCTAAACGCTCACGAGAAAAAAATGCGATCGGTTCTTGGAATGGAGGCGCGCCGTCAAGGGCTCCACAGAGAAAAGAAAGCAACAAGAAGTTTCCTTTTTATTTTGGTTGGTTTTTTTGTATGCAGCTTTCCGTCTTGTGTCATGATATACGTCATTAATTTATGCAGCACGTGCAGCTGTGACGTTATACACTGGTTTAGAGACCTACAGTACTTGTCAGTTCTTATCAACTCCTCGTGTAACCAGTTTTTGTATGCGTGGAGGATGAAAAGTTTCCGCCGAGCTTTTAGAAGAATTCATCCCCTCTTCGTTTGTTGGGAAGAACAAGAGAGAAGATCGACCGTGTCACAACTACCTTCCAATGCCACCTGGTCGCAGTCGCACGAACAAATGAAAAAGTGAGCGTTGCTGAAAGCTACTTTTGTGCTAACCAGCCGGTTTCGTTGACTCGTAACCATTATTCTATATACAACTTATGTAACTTTCATAAAATTGCTTAATGCTTATGGGAGATCAAAAAAGGGCTCACCTTCACTCCCACGCCCCTCCCCCCACTCCCCCCCTTTCAAGAAAATCGTCCCAAATTCTGATTTAGTCGTGATGGCTCGTCAGGCTACCGGATTTTTGGAGCTCGCGCCATTTTTTAGTCATATGATACAAACCAGATACGTTCTCTGAATCCCCATGAGAGTATTTCTGTGCTAAGAGTTCTAGTTCTAACTGAGCCATTTTTGGATTGAGTTTACTACTCGCAAAAGAGACAATGAAACATTTAAACTGTAAATGAAAAACATATACTAAAAGTTTGACTGGTGAACTACTTCCACTAGTATAGGTGCGATCAGTAAAGTTTTTTAGTCGTTAGTCCTTTGTAGTTTCTGCTACGTCTGACTGTTGGTTGGCCTGTCTTCTAAACCTGATCCTCCTGTTTTGGAACCAAACTTTGACGTGAGTCTCGGTCAGCTGAAGCGCAGTAGCAAGATTACGGCGTTCTTCTCCTGCCACGTACTGCTGCCTAGAGAAAGTGTTCTCCAATCGCTCCAGCTGCGCAGGCGTGAAAATCGTTCGGGATCTCTTGTTGGGTTTTCGCTTATCTTTCTTGTCATCACCTCGTTTGATGGTTGATTCTACAAGACAGCAACTGTTTGGTCAAGTTTCAATCACAATAACTGCGGCTTCGCTTGATTATTTTCGTTTTCTGCCCATTGAAACTTAGGCTACTTTTTCTGCAATGAAGTTATTTAGACCTTTATCGCAGTGCTTCCGTTGTCGAGAGTAAATGTCTAGGCAAATAAAACTAAGTTTGCTTTTTTTCTTCAGTTACCCGTGAGACATAATGATACGACTGAAGAATTCGGTTAAAGTAAATATGGAAAATTTCCAAGAAGTTTGGGTAAAATAGAAATTGAAAAAACAACAAACTTTTCTACCCCAAAAACACACCACCCTTAATTTCCTTCAATAACTAGGTAGGCAGGAGGCAGAATGGCAAAAGGTGTAAATAGGTATAAAAAGAGTGTAGATAGAAACTGAAGAATCTGGTCACACCTACCCATGTCTGATTGCCAATTGACAGCGCATGCTCCGTTATGACAGCAATGATAGTGAGGAAATTGAGCCGAATAATCAAAGGGGCCAGAATCCCCCGCGAGCAGCAACTGGCGATAAGAAATGGAAGAAGGAAGTGACTGCATTGATGGAGAGGTGGGCGAAGAAGACAAAATGGCGCGGATGGAAAACGAGCTGGAGAACTGGCAACTTCTTTCCTGATCGTTGAAGTGGAAGTAATCGGCAGCGGGGGCTTGTGTTGAAGAAGGATTCGAAATAGCCGAAGTTGAATTCAATGCCGCTGGAAAAGAGGAGAGCATCTTTGCCGTACTTTTTAATGTTTTGAGGACGGGATACGAAATGAAAATGAATTACTTTCCACTGCATTGGCCTTTAATTGCTTTCTAGACGACATTTGTTGCCTCTCATAGGAAAATTATATGTACTATCACGCCATGGTTTCAGCGGAACAAGTATTAACTTTTAAAAGCAAGGAAGGATTTCGTAAATAACGTGACTTTCCCATACGCTTTATTTCACGTAATATAAAATTGCTTCATGGAGGATCTATTGTTAAGTGTACGAACAGCTGTAAACATCCCAGGACTTTTGTAACCGATTAGTTGTTCAAATGGTGAATATTATTGCCTATCCTGCCAGGTAGGTAATTAGAACGGAATATGGATAATAATAGCCTAAAATTACCGATAATAGACGCTCTCTTAAACGCCCTTAGTTAGTGGGGCTCTTTTGGTCTCAATAAGCTTTATATTATGAAACCGACTCTGTCACTAAGGTTTTGCTACCGCGAAAAAAATAGTGTTGAAGAACGAGTTTATAAATTGTGAGTATTCGAACCTACGTGCTTGTTTATCAGTTATTTCGTATTTTGGTGTCTCTTCATATGAAATTACGCGAGTTGCACGAAAGCAATTGATTGAATAACAATTTGCATTCTGTCGAAACTTAAGCTTCTTTTGTCTTTACGACGACGGCAGGGGGCTTATACAGGTCACATTCAAGTGCTTTCTCTGCCTGTCATTTAGATTTATGATGTTGAAGTTACCAAAGATGCATAATTTTTTTTGTTTGTTTTCGTTGTTTTATTTTTGTCTTTTTAGTAGTGAACTGACTTAAACCAAAGTTATCTCTTCTATCATAATTTTTCATTTGATCGCGCAAACTATGAGTATTATGATGCCAGATGCGGTGATTCCTATTATATCTCAACCCCCTCGTGAGGTTTTTGAAATAAATTTTGAATTGATTACTCGGCTACTTTAGTGACCGCAGGCGTCAATTCGAAAATAACTGACTTGTGCTTTTTTACATAAGTGGGCCGTTATTGGAGGTGTCCTATCGATCGATCAAAAGAAAGGTGTTTCTTGCCCAAACATGAAATATTAAGACTTGTTAAAGGAGATATCGACGAAATGGAAAGTTCATAAATCGTTATTGGTTTGTATTGATATCGTGATATGTAACAGCAATCCGGTCGTTGTTGGTTTTTCCCTTTTTCATAACCTTTCTGTTTCTTCAGTTAAAAAGTATCTCATTTCATCTCATTAAAATGCTACCTTTTTTTCGGTAGATAGTTAATTTTTATGACATTGTCTTATCTTGAGATATCTTTTGCTAGCTTTTCACATCTGTTCTAAAATAATCGAGTGTTGTCTGGACTTATATAAAAACTTCTAGTCCCCAACAAGTATTGGCTGTAACTTAGAAGCTTCAGGGTTTCCCACCAAAGCTATCCGTTGCGATTTAGAGTTACGTACTTATGGCAAATGCAAGCCTTGAGATCTTGAAAATAATATCAAAGTATTCTCTTTCATGTTATTTCTCTCCTCACACGATGGACCTGTGTATTTATTCATGAAGAATTCTTTAGATCGTATGCCGGAATCTACAATTTGATACAACAATGCCCGGTAAATTAAATGTCGCGCAAAATAGTAAATGATACTGAATTCATCACAAGCATTACATGAGATATCTTTAACTTTTTAAAAGTCTTTGAGTAAACGCACCCTTCTCCCCCCTTTCCCAGCCCGTTTACGGCGAACTTCGAGTGACAAAGCTGTCTGGATATAATGCACGATATGCACTGCCATCGCAGCTTTAAACGAGGCTTTTTTCATTCTAATCCCCAATTGCTTTGCTAAGAAAATGTAGGGGTTGTTCTATTACTGGTGCATTTTATCTTGCTCACATCAACGCACGATCTATTAGAGCATAACCACTCAAAGACGGCTGACATTGCAGACTTTATCCATTGAAGCAAAACATCAAGATGTTTACCAGTCGCTGTTACTGACTCCTTTCGAGCGTTAGCCCTTCGTCGTTCGTTCTGACGAAGGGCTAACGCACGAAACGTCAGCTTTTAAACTCTTTGCAGAGGCCGATTTACGTTATCAACTCATTTGACAATACTAAATTACCCTGTAGCACTACTGACCACTTTGTGTCGTGTCAGTCCTCAAGGACAGCTCATTACACTCGACACGCCTTTCCTTGAATCTCAAAAGCACTTTAAAAGCTCTTTTGAAAGTGGGCATGCGCCATGCATACAAGAACTGGTTAGCTGAACAGTTAACAAGGGCCATTAGAAACTGAAAGTCGCGTAACCAATGAATGACGTCACAACTGCACACGTCGCAAAGTAGAATGATGTAGATGATGACACAAGAAGATACATTACAGCAAACGAACACGAAGAGGACTAACAGGAATAATCTTGTAGCTTTCTTCTCATATTTGACTCTCTGTTCCATCATTCGATCACTGCGGGTGGCTTCAACATTATCAACATGGGCGTGAAGACTTTGGTAGATTCTAATGTATGCAAAAGTGATAATCAGCAAAGTGGCCACTACAGTAGTGTTAGCAAACACAAAGACAAAAGTGTAAAAACCTATTGCGAAATAAATGAATGAAACAGAAACAGAGAAAATCCAGATGCCGATGGAGATTGCTACTGTTCTTGATCGAGAACAACTTCGCCTATAGGTGGAAGTAACTGTGAGGTAACGCTCAGAGGCCAGAGCTGCTATGCTAAGCATAGAGGCAGTGCAATTGATGAAGTAAGTTACATGAACGACCTCTACGTGGCTCATTACGTCGTATTTTAAAGCTTCTCTGACATGAAACACGACAAATACTGGTTCTGTACATATACCAGTGATCAGATCGGCCAAAGCAAGATTGAGAACCAGGTAGTTGAATGCGGATCGGAGTTCTTTGTTCGGATCTTTGACAATCGCCAGGCAAATCAGAACATTTCCTGGCACAGTTATAACACACAGGATTGTCGATATAGTTGCAGTTGTCACAGACAACTCAAATGGCGCCCTCTTATCTTCGCAAAGATTGCTTCCAAACAACATGATGCTTCTTTGGATTTGTATCTGTCTTAGACAGACTATCAATATCTGCCGACCAAAATGGCAATGATTATACCAATATGATACAAACTAAGTTGTTCTCACAAACAGTGCGCAGACGTTCATGACATTTCTACGTCAGGTGTAGGTGACGAGAAGAATGGAAGCTTCCAGAGCCGAGAATTTTCTGCAAATTTTTAGGCACCTTGGGTTAACAAAGTCTGGTTGTGCATATTCACTGAATAAGCCTTTGAACTGAATTGAAATGAATTGATTTCATGTCGAGGAAAATGAAAATGTCACAATAAAGCAAACATTTGACAAAGGCTTAAAAACAAACAATATTCCTCCCGCCGATAGAAGTAATAAAAACTAGAATTATTATTGAATTTTTGAAGGAATAACCCCATGGCTTCAGAATAGCTAATTTTTAATTCCTTTTTTTCTAAGAAGGAGGGCGAAATTTGAAGGTTTAGAATTGAATTAAAAGATATTTTACAAAATCAAACTAAAAAATTTTACTTGCTAGATTTGAAAAAATAATTTCTGTCACTTCTAGGTGGCATGTGACCTTAGAATCATATTTACATTTCGGAACCAAAGGGAAATTGGACGGCTACGGGTGAATTTAAATGTGTTTCATTAAATTGTCAACAATGTACGAATTCTAACTTTGAACCAAAGAGTTATTTGCAAAAATAGATTCTCAGTGTATTGTGAACGATTTGACTGTTGCCATAACAAATATTTCTGGCAGCGTTGATTGTATTTCATTAGGCACTATTGAATTTGATTACTGGAGAGTGAAAATGTCGATCGAGCTGAGACGATAATAAATTTTTTTTTGTTCTGTCTGACCTGTGATCAAATTGTTTGAAGTTTAAATATGGACTTTTCACTCATTTGAATAGCTGAAGTTCGAACTAGTTACGAATATCAAGCCTTTTACAATCCAAAGAAACTGAAAAACGATTTCTTTTTTAAAAGCCAGTAAACACAATTTTTCAATCAGGATTTGCTATGGTGGCGATACTGGGGACATGTCTTGTTTAATGATATGCACTTTAGAATAGCTACTCGCCTTACACCAAGAAGACCCCTAAGAAGCTCTAATTTGCAATTCTTAACACCGCCAAAGTGTATTTCCTAGGTGCCAAAGGAGTTTTGGATCAATATCAGTATCTGGGCAACTGCCCATCTACCCCTCCCCTAACCCGATAACAAGTTAGGGTTAATGTTGGGTTAGGGGAGGGGTAGGTGGGCAGTTGCCCAGATACTGATATTGATCCAGAGTTTCTATACTCAAACTATTATCCGGCCCAAAGTTCAGAGAATATTTCAAAATCATTCTACGTGCGATCATTCGTCTCCCTTATTTTTCGTCTTTATTACATTGACATATCGTTCTTTTATTCTATAAACTCTAGTTTTTATAGGTGCGTAACTGTACCATATTCTTAATTTGAAATTTTAACATCCCTGTTATGCTACTGGCTTCATCAACATTATCTCATTGATCAGTCTCCTTATTTCCTCTTGCAATTTTGTCCATCCTGTAACATTCCTTTCGTGACCGGATTTTTTGGCTGAATACGGTATGCTGAAACAAGTACACGTACGCTCTGCGGAAATTCCGCATCCTCATTGAGTAAAGTAACTGATTCGTGGCTGCAATAATCATGGGCAGGAGGAAATAAACGTCACGCAATGTGTTCGTGATGTCACAGGAGCACGTGGTGCAGAAACTGATGATGTTTGCAGCAATGCATGATGGGAACACCGTGGAACAGAAAACAGTCAAAATCGTCATAAAAGATCTGGTGACCTTCCTCTCTCTCGCTAAGGCTCTCCGCTTGAAGTCGCTGTGTTTTATTGTATCCCAGTTTTTTACATGGCTCTGCATTGTTTTTGAAGTAGACTTGTGCGAGGCAAGCAAAATAGCGAACACTACTATGGCTGACG